TGGTCAGGGGGGGCAACCAGGGTGACCACCCGGCGGGCCATGCGGGCCCGACGAAGGCCCCCCTAGAGGTCCTGTGTGACAGGCGCCAGCTGGAAGATGCTTACGTGGCCACGCATGGGGCCCCGAAGCCGAGGTAGCGATGGCTACCTGAAGAAGCAATGGCGCTTGATTGCCAAGGGCGAGTTGGGCTACATCCCGGCAAAACACATCGTGAGCGCGCTCCCGGAAGAAGGGGAACGCCCTTCATCCACCCACAAGAAGATCACGGTGGACGGCTGGGACAGGGAGGATGAAGAAGAGGTGAGGAGCCACCCTACATCTCGGCGCCAGCTGGAACGATTGCACGCTCCTGATGCGCACGGCAGCACTGCCGCAGTTTGGTAACCTGAGGGTCACCAAGGAGGAGCTGGATGACTGGTATGCCTGGTTTTATGGGGAGGACATAGCCGGCAGGAAGCCTCCCCCGAGCGACACCACCTTGCTGTTTGCGGAGCGCAATGCATGGCGCAAGATTCACGAGATGGTGCACCAGGGCACCACTCTCTCCGAAGCCCTCAAGAACATCAGGGGCGACTTCCTCTTCTGGCAACGGGAGGTCTATGAGCACCTCAACAGGGCGCCGACGACGAAGGGGAAGAGTAAGAGCAAGGCACCCAAGGTGTGGCAGACTCAGTGGGAGAAGCCCAAGAAGGGGGGAAAAGGATCCTGGCCCTCAGGGCCTACCCATTCCAAGCCGAAGGGCAAGGGCGGCAAAGGAAAGTCCCCCAACTCCTCCTCGACCCCATGGCCGGACCACTGGGCTTTCAAGAATCCCAAAGGGGTGGCATACTGCAGGGATCATCACCTCCACAACAAATGCCCTGGATCATGCGGCCGATCCCACAACTGCCCAGTCAGTGTGTGATGCATCGAAGCATGTGCCACAGGTATGCCCACACCTCCCCAAGTGACAGGAGGCCACTCAGGGTGCCATAGGCCCCGTGGCTGCCTGGTCTCCGAAGGGATCACAGGCCACCAGTGCGAGAGTGCACACAGCGGGGGAGAGCTAATCCCACCAGAGCCACAGCAGAGGGCAGACAGAGTTGGGGAGGCCAGGACGGCCGCAGGTGGGAGGGGATTTCTCCAGGGTGCCACCGGCCCCGGAAGCCCCTCCACCGAAGAAAAGGAGTGGACCCAGTCAGGGCACTCCAGAAGGGCGGAAGCACCCGTTTCCCCCGCACCCACCGAGGCAGTGGGATGAACCCCCAGAGAGACCCAGCGGTGAGGATCCGCCCGGCAAGGGGCGTTCCAAGGGCGGGCAGAACCGTCAGGCAAGCAGCAAGCCCAGGGCCAGCCGACCAGAGGGTCGGACAAAGGACACACGGAAACCCCAAGGGGGACAAGCCCCGACTGAGGCTGAGACTAAGGTGGACGCCACGTCCGGTGCCGGAGTCGTCGAAGCCGACCCTCATCCTGCTGTACGCGGGGAAGGATGATGCGGGGGCCCTGGATGCCTACCTCCATGCCTACAACCCGGCCTTCTCGGAGTACATTTGGGCAGTGGACATTAGGCGAAAGGGTGGCGATCTTGGACAGGACATGCTGGGAGACGAGCCGTACTACAATGTGCTCCATGGCCATGGCGGGCAAGGTCGCCTTTGTGGGGGGCGGCCCCAACTGCAGGACGTGGAGCAGGCCCGCCGCCGGTGAGGGGCAGGGCGGAGCAGACCCTGTGGGGCTTGGAGGACCTGGAGCCCCGGGTAATGGAGGACACGGACAACGACAGCGTGCTCATGCTCCGACAGATGTACCTGACCTCGCTGGCCTACCAAGGACTAGGTCAACTAACGGTCCCGCAGGTGGGCTCCTCATTCCTGGAGCACCCAATGGACCCAATGGAGTGCAGCAAGAGCCCGAGCGCAGCGAGGTGCTCTTCGATCTGGATCACACGGGCCTACATTCAATGGGCGAACGCACTCCACCACTCCCTCATCAAGTTTGACGAGTGCCGCCTGGGCCAGGTAGTAGTGAAGTCCACGACATTGTCAACGGACCTTCCCCTTCACCATTGGCATGATCTGCGATGCAACCACGGAGCTCACCCCAGGGGAGCTCAACTCCAGTGACCTCAGCCGGTACCCAGAGCAGATGATGCAGGGTCTCGCGGCGGCCATCCTCTGCAGAGCGGGACCAGTCCTGGAGGCGCTGAAGCCGGGGGGCACGGTGCCCCAAGTGAACCCAACAACCCCCCCGAGGCGGCAAAGGGAACCATCTCCTAGCACGCCGGGGGACAACAAGCGCCAGTCCCTGAGGCTAAAGGCCGGCCAACAAGCGTTGGCAGGACTAACCCTGGGCTCACTTCCGGTCTCGGCCTCAGACAATCCTACGGTCCGGACACCAACACAGCCGGCTGGCAGGACGGTCGAACTTCGGGGTGAAACTCTTCCCCTTCAGCCATGGGCGCGCCATTGCATGGAGATCTCGGATCGGCCCACCACCCTGCCGATCACGCACGACCCAAATCTCTCCGACGAGGTTATGTACCTCCAGATGGCCTTCAAACAGCGCCCCCTCAGGGACGGGGGCGGGAAGCCCTCACTTGGACGGCTGGCCCCGTGGACGAGGCCACTGTCCAAAGCAGCAGCGTTGGGGGCCAAGATCTGTGTCCTCACATCGCCATCATGGGTCGCTCTCGTTGGGGGACGGGTCACACCCCTTCCCGGAGGATCTGCTGGAAGATATCAGGGAGATTGGCGCCAGGGGCAGGACGACCAGCGGAAGGCCAACCCTTCTTCCTGGACATCTTGCACAGCCTGGCGCTGAACATTCAGGACCCCGACCACCAGTTTCCTCGGGATCTGGAACAAGGGGTCCCACTGGGGGTCACGGACCCACCCCTAGCTTCGCCGGGCATCTGGCCACTCAAGAAGGAGCTAAAAGGGGAAGAGCCGGAGTTGGAACTCCCCCCACGGGCCGGGGTAACTACCCCTCAGCGGATCACTTCAGCGAGCTCATCCGTAGCACATTCCTGGAGGAGGTCCCCATGGGCATGGTAGATGGCCTCTCACCAAGGTAGAGGCAGCAGCGCGCTGTGGCTGCAATATGGAGGATCTTTGTCCAGGCCCCCTAGCGGGCATCGACGAGGGGCAAGATCCGCACCATCTACGATGGCTCGGTGGGCGGGGCCAATGACACCATCAGGAACCAGACGGTGGAAAGGACGACGGCTCCGACGGTGCTGGATGGGGTACAAGCTCTTCATTGGCTACATGCGGCAGCTGAGGAGGGACCTCCCTCTCAGGGTGCCTCCGGCCCCGAGAAGGAGGTCGCCAAATCTCCACCCGAGGGCTGGCTATGGCCGGAGCCGGGCACCAGGTGGGTGCTGCTCAAGGCGGACGTCACCAAGGCCCACCGGAGAGTAAAGGTCCTCAGAAAGGACTGGCGGTTCCAGGTGGCTTCACTGGGAGAAGAATGGTGGGTGAACAAGGTAGGCACATACGGCATGGCCAGTGCCCAATCCTACTGGGGACGCCTGGCAGCCCTTCTACTCAGGGTCCTCTACGCACTTTTCCCTCAAGTGGATTGGAACTTCGTCTTTGTGGATGACTTCCTGTGGCTGCTTCGTAGCGAGGGGGCAGTAAACTTGGCGGTGGCGCTGTTGGCAACACTCCTGGCCTTGGGCACCCCGCTTAGCTGGAAGAAGACACACTTGGCGGAGGTCAACACATGGCTGGGCTTCGTGGTCCACCCGAACATCCCGCAGGTTCTCATGGCCGCCAACAAACACATCCTGGTGATGGAGGTCCTGCAGACCATGGTGGAAGGGCAGGCGATGCACTCAAAGGACATCGAGAAGGCCCTGGGCCGCATCCAATGCGCCACTGCGGCATGTCCGCTGGCGAAGTCGGAAACCCCCCAAGGTGGTCAGGATGCTGGCGTTCATGCTGCGGTTCCTCTTCAACACGCCCTTCGTCCAGTACTCCCCTCACCTGCCGAAGTCCTCTTGGTGGGGTTGCAGCGATGCTAGCGCCTCGGACGAAGGACTGGCATTTGTGGGAGGATGGTGCTCCAACAAAACGGAGCCGGAAAAGAAGGAGGTGTACTGGTTCCACGAACAGATCCACGTGGAGGAGTACCCTTGGGCATTCAAGAATGGGGATCCCAAGCGGAGGATTGCGGCTTTGGAAATGCTGGGCACGCTCTTCCTCTGCAACATGATCCTCACGCACCAAGGCCCTCTGTCCTCCCGGGTCCGACTCCCGGTGGGCAGTGACAACGTCATGGCGATGCTCAACCTTGGATCCAAGAAGCCCTATACCGCGGCTATCCTGATGGAGCTGGTCTTCCTGCTCCACACCCATGGCTGCTCGCTGGCGGCCAACCACGTGCCCCGGGAATTCAACCAGTGGGCCGATGAGCTGACGCACCCAGATTTCTCTGGGTTCGACCCTTTGCACAGGGTCCCTAGACAGGAACTCTGCGAGGAGTTCGTTTTTCTCCCGCGTCTCCTGAATGGAGATGCATTTGATCTCAGCGTGGGCCCACCCATCCATGCTCCCGTGACCGGAGCCGGTGGGTGACTCACTTCCCCTGGTGGCAGACCCCCCTGTGGCCTGGGTGCCCCGGGCCCCTGCTCAGGGGCGGGCGCTATCAGTCTGCACACCCGTTCTTCAGTTTTTGAGAGTTTGTGGTGGGTGGCCCATGGGGCCCACCCAGCCGTTGACATCTGACAGGGGAAGATGAGTCCCTGGCACCAACACGTTGCTCGGATAAAAGAGTTATCGCTTGCATGTGTGGTGCCGTTTGGTTAGCTTACATACACATATATATAGACACAATTCGGAGTGCCTTTTCGGTTGGGGGATCCACTTTCTCTGATCAGAAATAATATTTGAGTGGGCTTGTTTTTCGGTGAGTTGAGGGTGCGGTTGGGGTTGATGTGGCTTAATGTTGCTTCAAGATCAGTTTTGCCCAACGCTTTCCGCTTTGCTCCCTGCCTTTCTTCCAAACTGTTTCCCAAGGTGGAAGGGCGGCAAGCCTCGGCAAAGCGTGCGGGGCGTCTTTTAGCCGCTGGAAAAGAAGCACCGAGTCCTGCGCTTTGCACGGAGAGACACCCTACTTGGATCTGCGTTGTCCAGTTAGGTTTTGTTGTTAGCCACTTGTGTTATTGGCCGCGCATCAGGTTGGTGTCAAGTTAGTAAGTATAGTTGGCCACCTGCGTGATAACCCATTAACAACAGGTTAACTGCACTTGGGGCACCCATGCGCGGGTTATAGCCTAGGATTTTATCGAACTCGGCCGAAAATCCAAGCACGAAGCTTTTCTGAGAGGTTGGACAGCCTTTCTCTTGGGCTATATGTCCACACTATATTATTGTATAGAACAGCCACGAACAGCCTCACAAGTCCAGAGTGTGTCTTGGTTCCCCATAATATAGGTGTATCCTTTTGTTAGGCTACCAAGTTTTGGTGGTTTTAAAAGATAACCAAAAGGAACACCCATCCATTTCGGGGGTTCCCTCAAAAACAGGCGGACACAAATTTATGGTTTTCAGTTTGGTACAGGGAATTGGTCAAATGCAGATTCCTCAAATCCGCAAATATGAGTTATATATATGTATATATCTCTGTTGATCCAATCGACCGCCGCAGGCACATTCATGGCCAAGTGGGAAAATAGCGTGCTCAGGGTAGTGCGCACGGGCTGCCAACATTGGTAGCGGAGCGGTAAGACACCGCTCACCGGCGCTGCAGGGTCAGTGCCTCGCGACCGCCATGTCGGAACCTGGCGCCTCGCTGAGATACTTCAGCGGGGAAGACTGCGACTACAGAGAGTATAGGAGATGGAGACAATGGTGCGTGAATCGCATGATGGTCATGGACAAATTGCCCAAGAATGCTCGCGGGAGTTTTGTCTGGACACTTCTTCAAGGCCGCGCCTTGGAGGTGGTGGAGCACCTAAAGGAAGAGGAATATCAGAAAGAAGGTGGCGATGCTGTCATCTTTGCACTTCTGGATAGTCGGTGGCCCGCCAAGGATCGCACAGACGAGATCGGCGAGAATATCTCGGAGGTGTTCACACTGAAGGCTCGGGAGGGCGAGTCTGTTCGTTTGTGGTGTGCACGGGCCAGGGAGTGCTTTGACAGATGCAGCAGGAAGTCAGGAGTGGATTTTCCGTCAGAAGCCCGCGGCTGGATCCTTTTAAACTGCAGTGGTATGAACGAGGAGCAAAGAGCTGTGGTACTGGCTCGAGCTCAGGGAGTTCTGAAGTTTGATGATCTGGCTCAGTCGATGAGGTCCTGCTTCCCGGAGTTCACCGTTCCTAAGAAGCGACACACCGCTGTCTCTGCTGTTGATCCCCGTCGTCAACTGTCTGGTGATGAGGAGGATGAGGCTGTCTCAGGTGATGCCCAGCAGCTTGGTTTCGACGATGTCGAATTGTTTCTGGCCGAACATGGAGAGGGCGTCCAACAGGCCGATTCTGAGATCTATGAGGAAACGGAGGTGGCTGAGGTTTTAGCAGCCACGTGGCGTGATCGCCGTCAAGAACTTGGAAAGCTGCAGAAGCAACGGCGTTTCCAGAAAGCCTCGGAGGTCAAGAGGTCTTTTCGGGTCGAGATCGAGGAGCTCAAGAAGAAAACACGCTGTCGCAAGTGTGGAGTTATCGGGCATTGGGCTAGGGAATGCCGGAAGTCGGGTGCAGGAGGTCATCCATCGGCTTCAGCATCTTCTGGTCCTGGAGACAAGGGAATCAGCCTGGTTGAGCATTTTGTGTGCATGGTCATAGCCTCGAGTGACACCAAGCACCTCAGCATGCTGGACAAATTGCGTCAGCGACGGATCCGGTGCAGCGAGGATGAGATCTTGTTGGTTTCATCCCCTGGCTACGCAGTCTTGGATTCCGGCTGTGGCCGGACCATCATCGGCGCCGACACGTTGACAAAGTTCCGACAGCTGTGGAAACTGAACGGCCTTCCTCAGCCTGAAATTGAGTATGAGGAAAATGCATTCAAGTTCGGCAATGGACACCGGGAGGTGTCGTACCAGTGCGTCAGGATGCCCATCCAGTTAGCCGGTAAGACAGGGGCAGTCAGAGCGGCCGTGGTAAAGGGGGATGCACCCTTGTTGCTGTCCCGGCCGTCTCTCAAATCATTGGCAGCCACCATGGATTTCCAGAATGATGTACTACATCTTTTTGAGGATCGTATCCAGGTCCCCCTGAAGATAAATTCTGCCGGCCAATACGTGGTCAAAGTGACTGGCCATCCGGAGTCCGTGACCAATTCCTTCGGTTCGGCCAACGCCATGAGCCCCACCATGGAAATGCGCAACTCCAGTGAGATGCAGAGTGCCTCGGATGGGTCTAGTGCAAATCAATCCATGCCAGTAATCACACCGCCTGACACCGTGTTTGCACCCAGCCAGGATGAATCCCCACCTGAGGTGTGCACCAGCAATGACCGTAGGCCACATGAGAAAACGAAAAATTGCCTTTGTGCGCCTGCTCAGGAGACGACGCCGTGGACTTCCCGACAGCACCGAGTGCTGATGGCGCAGGTGAAGGAAGTCACTGCCAGGCCAGTTCACCGGCTGGGAGACAAACTCAATGTGATCGAAGTGTTCTCCCCACCACGGTTCGCCCTGGAAGCAGCCACCAAAGGACTCACTTGCTTATCTGCCGATTTAGTCACGGGGTGGGATTTTCGTAAGCCTAGCCATAGGGAGAATATCAAGCGCCTAGTGTCAGAGCATCCACCTGAACTCTTGGTTTTGTGTCCCCCGTGCACGTGGGCAGGAGGTTGGTTCCACCTTAATAAAATGCACATGTCCGAGGAGCAAGTTGAGTGTCGCCGTAGGTTGACCAAGTTGTTCGTAACATTGTGCTGCGAACTTGCCCAAATGCAACTCGATCGAGGAGGTCGTGTGTTGTTTGAGCATCCCCGAGGGTCGAGCGTTTGGCAATTCTCTTGCATGAACAAGCTTCGTGATCGCATGCATCAATTGGATCTGGATATGTGCTGCTACGGGATGCGGGTGCCAGGTGGACCGTTGATCAAGAAGGCTACTCGGCTGTGGGTGTCTCACCATAATATGCTGAAGCTAGTCAGACGCTGTCCTGGTGAACACCATCCTGACCACGCCAATCATCAAATCGTGGCAGGAACTCACCCCAAGATAGGACCAGTGAGCAAGTTTGCTGGCCAATATCCAGCTCCGTTCGTCAGACAAGTGATGCGTCTTGTGAAGGAGTTTCCCAGCACCCCTGTTCTTCGGGCAGTGTCTGACGAATCACGTGAGTGTCTGGCCGCCGCCAGAGTCCCGGCTATGAATCAGGAGGATGATGCACACCTGAAGCAAAGCATCCGAAAGTTGCACCTGAATCTGGGACATCCTACCGTGGGACAGCTGTGCCGAATCCTGAAGCATGGCGGAGCTAGCGATCGGGCCATCCGGCTAGCTCGGGAACACCAGTGTGATCAGTGCAAAGCATCCACACAGCCCACGCCAGCAAATCCAGCCAAAGCAGATCGTGTTACCACTTTCAATGCACGTGTTGGTTTGGACGTCAAGTACTTGACAGGGTGGAAAGTCAATCAGAAAGTGCCAGCCCTCAACATTGTAGACTACGCGAGTAGCTATCAGATGGTGATCCCTCTGTTTCAGAAAGAGAACTCCGAGCTCATCCGCAAAACCTTCTTGGAAAGATGGGTCTGCTGGGCTGGAATGCCAGAGGAAATCGTGGTAGATCCTTCCAAGCCCAACGTGGGCCAGGCTCTCACTGAGCCCCTGGAGCTCTCAGGAGCTACTGTGCATATCACCGCTGCCGATGCTCACTGGCAGCTAGGTAAGGTTGAAGTGCATGGCGGTTCCAGAAGGTCCTTTCCAAAGTAATTGTTGACCGGGTTCCCGCAAATCAGGAGCAGTGGCAAGAATGCGTAACAGCCGCACATTGCAAGAACGAGCTCATCCAAATGTATGGATTCACCCCTTCTCAGTATGTGTTCGGTAGGAATCCACGAATTGCAGAGCATTTGATGGATGAGCCTCTGGAAGTCATTCCAGCCACGGCACCGTTGTACGAGCAGTCAATAGCCCGTCAAGTGGCTACTCGGCATGCAGCCCGCCTCGCAGTGATGGAGCTGCAAGACAGCCGATCACTTCGGCTCGCGCTGGCTGCACGTCCTCGTGTAGTTCCGGACTTCACTCCAGGTACCTACGTAGCCTACTGGCGTAGTCAAAAGTGGAATCATGGTACCTTGGATCAGCAAGGCGCGTGGCATGGGCCCGCCATTGTGTTAGGTAAGGTCGGTAGGAACCTGGTGGTGATTCACAAACGTAGTATACTTCGGTGTGCGCCAGAGCAGCTCAGGCTCTCCACGTCGGATGAGACGAAGCTGGCTCGGACCCCTGAGGTAGAATTGCTTGGGATTAAGAATCTGATAGATCAAGATGCCTTGTCAACGAGACAGTACTTAGACTTGGTCCCCCAAGCCTATCCACCTCGGGCTCCCCTAGTAACTGAGAATTTGCCCAGTTCCGAATCAATCCCGGCCGAATCAGTGCCTGTAGGTGTGGGTCCGCAGTCTCCCATGGAGTTGGCCCGGTCCAGAGAAACAGCTCGGGAAGTTCCCTTGCCAGATGAAATTGCAGAGACTGGGGATGCGCCCATGCCATCCGTAGATGCGTCACGATCCTTGCAGGCCGAAGGCCAAGCTGAACCGGCCAAGACGAGCGAGTCAGCCCCATCCAGCTATGGGCCGATTCGCCGAGTGCATGGCAAGAGCGATCCGGAAGCGTTGCACCGTCCAAGGGCGATGGCCCCGGATGACTTTGCTGAACTGTTGAAGGAAGTCATCCCGAGCCTTGTCGAGCGAGCCGTCCGAGATGATCAGGTAATCGCCAACGAGCCGTCCAGTGGCTCCTCCGATAAGACTCCTGCGGAAAGAGGTTTTAAACGGTCTAGTAATGATGCTGAACTATTTGATCCCCTCAAAAAGCGTTATAAAGAGGAAGATGAAATACTGTCCGTGTCGTGGGAGCAAGGATGGAACCTGACCAGATCTCCGGCGGAAGTTCTGTCCGTGCAAGAACTGGCTCAGATTCAGTACCAGCCAGATCAGCTGTCAGCTTCCGAGTGTAGCAAATTGCTAGAGCAATATAACCAAGGTGCACCCATGGAAGTGTTGCTAGCCAACTACATCCAGAAGAAAGCGTCAAAGGAAATACCGGCTTCGGGAAACCCTCTGGAGCTGCAGCGAAAGATTGATGAGGCCAAACTCATCGAATGGAACGTAGTCACCGGTAAGAGTGCCGCACGTTTAGTCCTGGGTCCTGAGGCCGACGAGGTGCGTCAGAAGCATAGTCACCGAATCATGGGAAGTAGGTACGTTGTCACAGTCAAGCATGAAGACGACGCCCCGGCAAGGATCAAGGCCAGGTGGTGCCTGCAAGGCCATCTGGATCCTGACTTGTCAAGCAAGGCGCGAGCCGGCGACCTACAGAGCCCTACCCTGTCTCAGGTTAGCCGTGGTCTGTTGTTTCAATTGATCGCTAGCCACAAGTGGGATTTGGCCCTCGGAGACATCAAGGGAGCATTCTTGGCCGCAGGTGAGTTGCCACAGCAGTACAGGCCTTTGTATGCTCGTTTGCCCCCCGGAGGCATCCCCGGCATTCCTGACAACGCCCTCATTGAAGTCATAGGTCATGTTTATGGGCTTAACGATAGTCCCTCAGCTTGGTATAAGCGCTTGAATGAAGCCCTGTTGTCAGCGGGTTTTGAGAGAAGTCGCTTCGATAGCTGTCTGTACTTCATGAGGGAGGGTAATGTTCTGACGGGAGCATATGGAGTTCATGTAGACGATTGTGCAACCGGAGGATCAGGCCCTAAGTATGATCAGGCCCTGACTAAGCTTAGGACTGAGTTTGAATTCCGCAAGTGGCGAACTGGTCAAGGCGATTTCTGCGGTGCCCGATACACTCAGGACCCCGCCACTAAGGAAATTGTCATGGATCAAACAAAGTTTGCCCAGGAAAAACTCAGACCCCTTCGACTCAGCCGACAGAGAAGTGTGCAGAAATCCGACCAATTGACTCCCGCAGAGGTCAGCTGTCTTCGTGCCATCAATGGCGGTTTGAATTGGCTGGCCACACAGTCTAGACCTGATCTATCCGCACAGGTGTCCTTTTCTCAGCAGTCATTTCCCAGCCCAACCGTGGAAGATGCCCTGTTTGCTAACAATGCCATCAGGAGGGCACGACAGCATTCGGATCTCACCATTGTGTACAGGAGCATTCCCCCGGGTGAACTGGGAATCATGTGCCATTCCGATGCGGCATATGCCAATGCAAAAGCAGGTGCCACCCAGGCAGGTTACGTAGTCAGCTTCACGAATCAAAACATGGATCAAGGCGCTGACTGCCCGTGGACTCCTGCTTTCTGGAAGAGTTTTCGATTGCCAAGAGTGGTCAATAGCACCCTCAGTGCCGAAGCGCAAGCAATGTCTGTGGCGTCAAGCATGGCCGAATGGACCTTGCTTTTGCTGAATGAGGCGATGGATGGTCCTCAGTTTCCCCATACATTCTGGCAAGCCACCAGCCAGCGGTTGGTAATAGTGGTAACCGACTGTAAATCATTGTATGATCATATTCGGTCCCCTTCGTCACCTACCTTGGAGGATAAGAGAACATCCATAGACATCATAATTCTTCGGGATTCCCTCGGTCGCATGTGTGCTTCCCTTCGTTGGATCCCCACAGATCGCATGCTAGCCGATGCGATGACCAAGGAGAGTGCCGATGCCACCGACTTGTTGCGTGGGTGTATCCGTGCCGGCCGGTACCAGATCAGTCCGGAGGAGAAAGTCCTCACTTGGAGAGCACAGGAACGCGACCGACGGAAACAGGTCGCATTCACCCGAGCTGCATCTGCCAAAGCCTCATGTCGAGGCGACCTGTGATCTCAGTCATGAACATGTGTCAGTTTCACTTAGAGCAGCTGGTTTTGACACTTGCATTATGCCACAACCATTAGAGTAATGGGTACTCCATTCGCGTTAGCAGCATATGCCTCTTTTGGTGTTAAATGCAGCTGATAACATTAATGCCGACTATGAGTAGTCCAGAAGTTCAGTTGTTAGCACTCTGCCTTGAAAAATGAATGCCTGCCGTGCAGTTGGTTTTTACAGCACTCAAATCAGTGATCTCAAGCATGTCCCGTGGTAACTCCAAGGTCACCATTCCCGGGTGGGAAGATGCTGCCCTGGTGGACACCTGGTCTGTTCAGGACCATGATGAGTGTGTCCGGCTCCTAGCCAAGGCACATCGAGCGGGCGCCGCCGACAGGGTGTGGCAGGATTCGATCAAGCTCCATCAGGCCACTGTGGGCACTGGTGGTGGAGCGATGACCGATGCCCCCAAGAGGCTCCGTGGACACAGCCCTGAGTTGCCTGACAATGCCCCGCCGGCTTCATCATACATGGCAACCCAGGCGATGCCTCCGCCTTTTCCAAGTGATATCCCGCACCAGGAGTTGGCCGGACTTCCGCCGGGTGTATCGTCACTGGAAATGTGGGGCAGTACACTGATCTCTTTTGGAAAGTATAAGGACAAGATGACCTATGTCGAACTCTTGACTGCATCCGATTCAGAGACAGTGAGCTATCGCCGTTGGGCCAAGGGACACTCAACTTCTGGGTCGGCCAAGCTCAAGGATATGGTTGCGTATCTCAGCATGGCCGGTGCATTTGGGCCCAGCAGTCAGTCTGTGATCCCTGGAACAGATTGTTCACGAACATTTAGATCTTAGAGATTGTTAGGAGTGTTGATCCAATCGACCGCCGCAGGCACATTCATGGCCAAGTGGGAAAATAGCGTGCTCAGGGTAGTGCGCACGGGCTGCCAACATCTCTATACGTGGGAAAGGGTTGTGATATGAAAGCGATTTCACCATGACGTGTGCAGGCAGTTCGCGTCTTTGCTTGCTGTCCTTGTTTGTTTTGTTGAATCAGTCTATGGTTCTTCTTGGGGTTTATTTATCTAGGTGAGGACGTTCTGTGATAAACCCGCTCATTTTTTTCCCCCGGAGTATTGTGCTTCACGTTTGCAGCTTGTCACATGGCCAGGATCCCTTGCACGTGGGCTGTGACATTTCAAAGTGGGCTTCTCGCGGCACGTATGTACCCCGATTCAAGAAAAGCCAACACACATATTGCTTGGGGTAGCAAAACAAATACTCCCTGCGACAGGGACTTCATGCAATGCCATGACTTATTTCCTGAGTTCCTTCATGGTACTCGTATGGAAAGCCACGCTAGTGCAAACAACAAGTCCATGGACTTGTTTTGGCGAATCCACAACCAGTTTGGAGGGTTCTTCTCGAAGTTTTCTTGCGCATCAAGCAAAAAGTTGTGGCGAATCCACTCGATCGGAAGTGAGATGATAAGGATTTGTTTCGTCACGAGCTAACATCAGACCTACACCTCTCGAGTGTGGTGAACGCCTGGTGCATGATTTTTTGCGGTCAGTTCTAAAGGTTTCCAGCATCACTAGAGCAAGCCAATCGGCAGGTGTCCTTTAGTTTTTTCAGTGAAAGCAGTGAGTGGTGCTTACGCCTGTGGGTCCATGTGAGTTTTGACCGCTTGTGTTGGCTACCCACCAGACGTGGTTGCATCGAGAGGCTTTGAAAGCTGCTCTGACTGATAGCTGTTTCCAGGATGCACTGCCCTTGCGTGGCACCAAGGCACCATGTTGCTGAATGTTGCTGGAAGAACTCCAAATCGTTATTCCTAGCATGATGACCAGATGCCAAAAAAACCGTCAGGTCGAATGCGAATTGGCACCGCGGTTCAGCTGCCGCGCCCTTGTCGCAGTAGCAGCTACCCACCAAAAAAACACGCGAGACGCGAGCCGGGCGCGGGCGTGAGCCGCCTTATGGACGTGTGAGCCACTGGCCCATTGGTGAGGCGCGGCTAATGCGGGCCGATCCACCACTTCCCTTTGTCCAAGAGTCATGCGGCTGTGGGTCAAAACCGTTTTGGATCCCATTTTGGGGTATGTGCACCACCCATGTTAGAACCTATTTTAGTGGGGATTGGGATGTTCACTGCGGTTACTGGGTTTTGACCCATGGCCATGCAAGTGGGCAGGGGCCTGCTCCAAAAGGAACATACGCGCATAACGAAGGTTTCTTTCGTTCGGATCCCTGATTTGTTGGTTGGTTTGTGAATTATGACATAAATTGACCCGGAACTCACATGCCATTGGCTTGATTGGCCATTTGCTGAGCGGAAGGATCCGTGGAGAGAGTTTGCAGGCAGCCAAGAGGTACCCTGCATCCAGAAGCCTGCTTGGTTTTGATCGTGGGGTGTCCCCTTAAGTGGTGGTCCAGAAAACTTCTGGAGGGACCCCCACCCAAACAAAAATCGGCTGGGTAGTACCCTCGAAGCCACCCAGGGGTAGTGCTAGACCGGGTGCAATTGCAGATCCACTATAAGTTGCGGTAGATCCGCATTAGCCAACCTGTACCCGCAATGGACCCCTTCTGTTTTGCCTTTGATCCATAAACAGTTGTACAAAGGCACAACAAAAAGAATCGAGCCTTGGGTCGGACCATTGACACGCTCAGAGGGAAACCTCAACCATAAGTTGGCTGTTCTTTTTGAGGGCGCCCTTTTGAGTGATGTGCGTGTGTGTTGGAGGCTGTCATTTTGGATGTCATTTTGCAAAGATCCCCTGTTTTTGGGTGTTAAAGGTAAACCAACCAGTTCGGGGGTCCCCCATTTTACGAAGAACCCATATTGTTCCTTGTTGAAATCATGTGTTTACTCCCTGAAGGCTCCGTGACTCCATGACCCTTGAAAGACGGGATCCTGGACCCCAAGAATTGAGGGTTTTAATCACAGCTAGGTCCCCCAGCAATTGCTGCCCTTTTACCGTTTCTTTGTTGCTTGGGAGGATTCCCCCCTACTAAAATAGACTACAGAAAAAAGTTGGTACCAACTTATTCTAACCTTTCCCCCCACTAAAACAGACTACAGAAAAGAAAGTTGGTACCAACTGATTCTAACCTCTCAAATCTGAAAAACCTGGTTCCGGCTTCCCCCTTTTGCCGCTGTGCCGAGTTCTGCGTTGGTTCGCAGGTGTCCGATGTCGCCGGGGCCCCGGGGGCCTTTGTCGGCTTCGCGGGTGCTCAGAGGCTGAATTAGCTCCCCTGTTTTTGTTTGTTTGTTTTTCTTTTTCGCTTTTTTGGCGTCCAAATTTGTTTTCCACCCATCAGGCAACACAGATCTTATTTTTTTCTTTTTCGCTTTTTTGGTGTCCAAATTTGTTTTCCACCCATCAGGCAACACAGATCTTATTTTTTTCTTTTTCGCTTTTTTGGCGTCCAAATTTGTTTTCCACCCATCAGGCAACACAGATCGTTTCTTTTTTTGGCGTCCAAATTTGTTTTCCACCCATCAGGCAACACAGATCTTATTTTTTTCTTTTTCGCTTTTTTGGCGTCCAAATTTGTTTTCCACCCATCAGGCAACACAGATCTTATTTTTTTCTTTTTCGCTTTTTTGGCGTCCAAACTTGTTTTCCACCCATCAGGCAACACAGATCTTATTTTTTTCTTTTTCGCTTTTTTGGCGTCCAAATTTGTTTTCCACCCATGAGGCAACACAGATCTTATTTTTTTCTTTTTCGCTTTTTTGGCGTCCAAATTTGTTTTCCACCCATCAGGCAACACAGATCTTATTTTTTTCTTTTTCGCTTTTTTGGCGTCCAAATTTGTTTTCCACCCATCAGGCAACACAGATCTTATTTTTTTCTTTTTCGCTTTTTTGGCGTCCAAATTTGTTTTCCACCCATCAGGCAACACAGATCTTATTTTTTTCTTTTTCGCTTTTTTGGCGTCCAAATTTGTTTTCCACCCATCAGGCAACACAGATCTTATTTTTTTCTTTTTCGCTTTTTTGGCGTCCAAATTTGTTTTCCACCCATCAGGCAACACAGATTTATTTTTTTCTTTTTCGCTTTTTTGGCGTCCAAATTTGTTTTCCACCATCAGGCAACACAGATCTTATTTTTTTCTTTTCGCTTTTTTGGCGTCCAAATTTGTTTTCCACCCATCAGGCAACACAGATATTATTTTTTTCTTTTTCGCTTTTTTGGCGTCCAAATTTGTTTTCCACCAATCAGGCAACACAGATCTTATTTTTTTCTTTTTCGCTTTTTTGGCGTCCAAATTTGTTTTCCACCAATCAGGCAACACAGATCTTTTGTTTTTTCTTTTTCGCTTTTTTGGCGTCCAAATTTGTTTTCCACCCATCAGGCAACACAGATCTTATTTTTTTCTTTTTTCGATTTTTTGGCGTCCAAATTTGTTTTCCACCCATCAGGCAACACAGATATTATTTTTTTCTTTTTCGCTTTTTTGGCGTCCAAATTTGTTTTCCACCAATCAGGCAACGCAGATCTTATGTTTTTCTTTTTCGCTTTTTTGGCGTCCAAATTTGTTTTCCACCAATCAGGCAACACAGATCTTATTTTTTTCTTTTTCGCTTTTTTGGCGTCCAAATTTGTTTTCCACCAATCAGGCAACACAGATCTTTTGTTTTTTCTTTTTCGCTTTTTTGGCGTCCAAATTTGTTTTCCACCCATCAGGCAACACAGATCTTATTTTTTTCTTTTTTCGATTTTTTGGCGTCCAAATTTGTTTTCCACCCATCAGGCAACACAGATATTATTTTTTTCTTTTTCGCTTTTTTGGCGTCCAAATTTGTTTTCCACCAATCAGGCAACACAGATCTTATTTTTTTCTTTTTCGCTTTTTTTTCCAAATTTGTTTTCCCCATCAGGCAACACAGATCTTATTTTTTTCTTTTTTCGATTTTTTGGCGTCCAAATTTGTTTTCCACCCATCAGGCAACACAGATATTATTTTTTTCTTTTTCGCTTTTTTGGCGTCCAAATTTGTTTTCCACCAATCAGGCAACGCAGATCTTATGTTTTTCTTTTTCGCTTTTTTGGCGTCCAAATTTGTTTTCCACCAATCAGGCAACACAGATCTTATTTTTTTCTTTTTCGCTTTTTTGGCGGCAACACAGATCTTTGTTTTTTTTTTTCGCTTTTTTGCGTCCAAATTTGTTTTTTTCAGGCAACACAGATCTTATTTTTTGGCGTCCTTTCCACCAATCAGATCTTATGTTTTTCTTTTTCGCTTTTTTGGCGTCCAAATTTGTTTTCCACCAATCAGGCAACACAGATCTTATTTTTTTCTTTTTCGCTTTTTTGGCGTCCAAATTTGTTTTCCACCAATCAGGCAACACAGATCTTATTTTTTTTTTTTCGCTTTTTTGGCGTCCAAATTTGTTTTCCACCAATCAGGCAACACAGATCTTATTTTTTCTTTTTCGCTTTTTTGGCGTCCAAATTTGTTTTCCACCAATCAGGCAACACAGATCTTATTTTTTTCTTTTTCGCTTTTTTGGCGTCCAAATTTGTTTTCCACCAATCAGGCAACACAGATCTTATTTTTTCTTTTTCGCTTTTTTGGCGTCCAAATTTGTTTTCCACCAATCAGGCAACACAGATCTTATTTTTTTCTTTTTCGCTTTTTTGGCGTCCAAATTTGTTTTCCACCAATCAGGCAACACAGATCTTATTTTTTTCTTTTTCGCTTTTTTGGCGTCCAAATTTGTTTTCCACCAATCAGGCAACACAGATCTTATTTTTTTCTTTTTCGCTTTTTTGGCGTCCAAATTTGTTTTCCACCAATCAGCCAACACAGATCTTATTTTTTTCTTTTTCGCTTTTTTGGCGTCCAAACTTGTTTTCCACCAATCAGGCAACACAGATATTTTTTTTTTTGCTTTTTTGGCGTCCAAATTTGTTTTCCACCAATCAGGCAACACAGATCTTAGGCAGGCTTCAAATTTGTTTTCCACCAATCAGGCAACACAGATCTTATTTTTTTCTTTTTCGCTTTTTTGGCGTCCAAATTTGTTTTCCACCAATCAGGCAACACAGATCTTATTTTTTTCTTTTTCGCTTTTTTGGTGTCCAAATTTGTTTTCCACCAATCAGGCAACACTTGTCTTATTTTTTTCTTTTTCGCTTTTTTGGTGTCCAAATTTGTTTTCCACCAATCAGGCAACACAGATATTATTATTTTTTTCTCGCTTTTTTGGTGTCCAAATTTGTTTTCCACCAATCAGGCAACACTTGTCTTATTTTTTCTTTTTCGATTTTTTGGTGTCCAAATTTGTTTTCCACCAATCAGGCAACACAGATCTTTTTGTTTTTTTCTTTTTCGCTTTTTTGGTGTCCAAATTTGTTTTCCACCAATCAGGCAACACAGATCTTATTTTGTTCTTTTTCGCTTTTTTGGTGTCCAAATTTGTTTTCCACCAATCAGGCAACACAGATCTTATTGTTCGTTCTTTTTCGCTTTTTTGGTGTCCAAATTTGTTTTCCACCAATCAGGCAACACAGATCTTATTTTTTTCTTTTTCGCTTTTTTGGTGTCCAAATTTGTTTTCCACCAATCAGGCAACACTTGTCTTATTTTTTTCTTTTTCGCTTTTTTGGTGTCCAAATTTGTTTTCCACCAATCAGGCAACACAGATATTATTATTTTTTTCTCGCTTTTTTGGTGTCCAAATTTGTTTTCCACCAATCAGGCAACACTTGTCTTATTTTTTCTTTTTCGATTTTTTGGTGTCCAAATTTGTTTTCCACCAATCAGGCAACACAGATCTTATTTTTTTCTTTTTCGCTTTTTTGGTGTCCAAATTTGTTTTCCACCAATCAGGCAACACAGATCTTTTTTTTTTTTCTTTTTCGCTTTTTTGGCGTCCAAATTTGTTTTCCACCAATCAGGCAACACAGATCCTTTTTTTTTCTTTTTTCGCTTTTTTGGCGTCCAAATTTGTTTTCCACCAATCAGGCAACACAGATCTTTTTTTTTTTTTTATTTTTCGCTTTTTTGGCGTCCAAATTTGTTTTCCACCAATCAGGCAACACAGATCTTGTATTTTTCTTTTTCGCTTTTTTGGTGTCCAAATTTGTTTTCCACCAATCAGGCAACACAGATCTTATTTTTTTCTTTTTCGCTTTTTTGGTGTCCAAATTTGTTTTCCACCAATCAGGCAACACAGATCTTATTTTTTTCTTTTTCGCTTTTTTGGTGTCCAAATTTGTTTTCCACCAATCAGGCAACACAGATCTTTTTTTTTTCTTTTTCGCTTTTTTGGTGTCCAAATTTGTTTTCCACCAATGAGGCAACACAGATCTTATTTTTTTCTTTTTCGCTTTTTTGGCGTCCAAATTTGTTTTCCACCAATCAGGCAACACAGATCTTATTTTTTTCTTTTTCGCTTTTTTGGTGTCCAAATTTGTTTTCCACCAATCAGGCAACACAGATCTTTTTTTTTCTTTTTCGCTTTTTTGGTGTCCAAATTTGTTTTCCACCAATCAGGCAACACAGATCTTATTTTTTCTGTTTCGCTTTTTTGGTGTCCAAATTTGTTTTCCACCAATCAGGCAACACAGATCTCTTTTTTTTCTTTTTCGCTTTTTTGGTGTCCAAATTTGTTTTCCACCAATCAGGCAACACAGATCTTATTTTTTTCTTTTTCGCGTTTTTGGGGTCCAAATTTGTTTTCCACCAATCAGGCAAAAAAGAACTTATTTTTTTCTTTTTCGCGTTTTTGGTGTCCAAATTTGTTTTCCACCCATCAGGCAAAAAAGAACTTATTTTTTTCTTTTTCGCGTTTTTGGGGTCCAAATTTGTTTTCCACTAACCGTCACTAACCAGGCAAAAAAGAGAATGTTTTGCTGGGGTTCTAATTCCAGCCTAGTCTAGTCCCCTTAAAATTTCACCCCAAAGGGAGTGAAGCTCAACCTGGAGGGTGTCTTTCCTTGCGCAGCTGGCAGGTCTTTCTTTCCTTTCGCCTAGCTCCCTGGACCCCCCTTTCTACCATTTGTTTAATGGTCGTGGGTCAAACATATGTAGCCAAAATGGATCCCTGGTAAATGGAAACATGGCCTAACATATGCGGTCGAATTCCTGGTGGCTTAATGTTGACCGAGCCACCTTCAGGCCAACTCCTTGGTTCTGCCTTTGCTACCATTTGTTTAATGGGTCAAAGGCAACAAAAAAGGGGTCGGACTTGATGGTCAGGGTTTGGAGCATTTGGCTCAGGGTCCACTCCCTGAGTTCCGTTTCGGACTTTCGGGGATAAGGAAAATGGAATGAAACCATTCCCTGCCAGGACCCCCCAATGGCTGGCAAATGGTCTGTGGAATGACCTCCCAATTGCTGTTTTAGGTTATTTGTGAGCCATTGGGGGTCCTTGTGGCTGCTTTTTGTTGGCCAATCCACTCAATGGGAAGTGCTGTGAAGAAACAACGGCGGGGTTTTCTGGGGTCTCCCCAAAACGTGCTTAGACAGTAGGGTTGACGAGATATGAAACAGAAGCTGAACATGGAATTTTCTGTGTACCCAGATTTGGGGCATGAACCTCGGGATTCCTTTCTTGGGAGTTCGGTCAGGTTAGTTGCCCACTTCCAAGTTCCCCTTAGTGGAGTTAGGATATAACCCAGATGGCAAACCACGAAATCTTGGCCACGCACATCCGAGTAGTCACTTGGACCCGCAAACCACTTTCTGCTGTGTGTGTTGTTGTTTTTTTTTGAATAAAGAACAGTATTGGGTCAAAGGCAAACTAAAAGGAACCAGCAGGTTTGAAACCACACCAGAGGAACCCAAAGCAGCTTTGCACACGAAACCATAGGATCCAAAAGGGTTCGTGTCAAAATAGGTGAGCCCCTAAAGCGGCTGGTGTCCTTTTGCTTTCTCTTTTAAGCGACCCACAAAGGGGGGACCTGTCCAAAGGCGAAGCCCTGCAGACGGGGGACTTTTCCAATGATCCACCTCAGTGGTACGTGACTAAGATTCAATCCGTATCTTGCGATTTTTCCCGTACAACAATGTGGCTTGTGTGCCTGACGTTGGTTATAACCACCAAGAAGTCCTTTGATTCTTGGGTTCGCCAAGAAAGGCTTTCCCTTCGAAATATCCCAAGGGGAGCTCTACAAGCAAACATCCAGAAAGCACACTTTACAACCATGGTTAATGCGGCGATCCTCCACAAAAAAACACTTGCATTGACAAATATGATACATATTACACGTATAATATGTACATTTACACGTGTTTACAAGTATATGTATGCCATATATATATATATATATGTACACATACAAGTTAGATAAAGCTTAAGAGCTTCTGCTTCAGGAACGGCATCGACTTGCTGGGCCTCGACGAGGCTCCGGCGCCGGCGCCGCCGGTGACGCCGCCGAGCCCGGCGCGACAACAGGCGAAACAGGACCCGCGTGGTGTGAGATTTGTGGGTCGTTGTCCGTGTGATATGGCAGGGCTCCTTAAAAGATCTACATGTTGCAACATTTGAAACATGTTGCTTTTTCCACAAATGAAGGGAAACCACCATTTACAAGTTGCAATGTTCAGGTGTAGAATGTAAGGATCCCTGTATGGGTGTGGGTCAAACCAATGGGATCCCATTTTGGGGTGGGTGCACCACCCATTTTAGTCATTTGTTTGGTGGGGATTGGGATGTCCACAGGAATTACGGGCGTTTGACCGATGGCCAAATGACACCATGAAGATTCACGACTCAAGTCAACCATAGAGAATTGGTTTATAGGGGTCTAAGGTTGGTCTTTACTTTTGCACCACGAAATGTTCACCCCACAAGAATTAACCAACCAGTTCACCAAAAAAAGGGGGTGTCTGGGTGAAATGTAATAAATCATCACTTTGGGATACTGGTAATATGGGGTGAACGTAAATGAAACCATGGGCAACCATTGTTTGTCGATGAAGCCATGTCGGTATTTTCTTTGCACCATAAAAAATCGGGGTTTACGAAGAAAGGTAGCAATTGTGGGGGTCATCCCCTCAGAGACTCTGAGAACCAGCAAGCAACTAGACGCTGATAGAAAACCGACAGCCCGTGGTTACAACTAGGGGGGTTGGTCCCGTTACCATGGTAATAGCCCACTTGCCTGACCTTGGTTGAACATCCAAGTTGGGTTTGGGTGGAAATAGATTGCCCTGGTAAACCCTGGCATCTACCAGGGCCATCTATTCTCCGAAAGGGCACCTATGTGGGTTGCTGCCGTTTTCCTTCATTTCTTTGTTTGGTCATTCTGTTGACTGTTTTTGGGTATAGTCTGAGCCTGCGGGGTGTTGCACTTACCCACCACTTCGGGGGTGATCATTGCGAAATGGGACCAGAGAGGTTTCTCTTCAAAGTCAACTGCCAAAAGAGTGTGTTGTTTGCCCATGGCCTCCGGAAAGTTTGCAGGGCCTCCTCTACTTCAGAATTAGCTCCCCTTTTGCTGTTTTTGGTTTTTGTTTTTTAGGGTCCACATTTGTTCTCCACCAACCAGGCCAAACGATATTCTTGGGCAGGGCTCCTAATTCCAGCCCGGTCTAGTTTGTTAAAATGTGTGACCCTACAGGGATCGAAGCTCAACCTGGGTGTCTTTCCTTTCGCAACTGCCAGGACTCGGAGCTGATTGCGTACCCGTCCGCGTATGAGACCGATCCTCAGATCTCGCCATGCTGTTGCGCTACTAGCTGGGTTCTTCTGAGAGTTCCCCCCACTCACATGGAGTTCTGTAAAGTTTGGGGGAGAGGGCAAGTTGCGACCTCTTTGGGCCAACTCCATGGGAAGTGAGAGAAAAGTCCCTCATTCCTTGCAAGACAAGTCGAGAAATCGGAGGACCCGTGGAAGTCCATTTGGGTCTGTCTTTTAGGAAGCCAACCCCTCTAAATGGGTGGGTGGTCCAGTTGGTTAACAAAAACAGAAAAAGCAAAACAGGGGGGATTTATCGACTAAACAAAAGTTGGTCGAGCCGCCCCTTCCAAAAGCATCTTCCCGGTTGCCATCCCCTAGGTGGGGTGTTGCACAAGTACGTGAGGTTGCATGGAGCAGCGGCTCTGCGCCACACCCCGCATTGTTTTTTTTCTTCTCTGGATGCAGTGTTGTCAAGTCACCGAGCAGCAAATGGGAGGGTTCCAAGCGAGATAGGCTGTAGCATCAAGTGGCGGAGTCTCCATGGAATGTCCTTCAATCTTTGATTCCAACAATCAAGGGTCCCTTAAAGGATATATGTGGGCCAGGCAACACATCAGCTTTACCAGCTGGTTAAGAAGATACCCTTGGGAAGAAGCTGGTTTCATTCCCAACTGGTCGAGCCGGGGATTCCGCGTCGCGCCCTTCATCGTGAAGCCGGTAGTTGCTTTGCGGGGTTGACTCCACGATGGCTGCGCTCCCAACAAAATGCAAGGGTAAGTGGGACATACCACACTGATGACATGGGTAAGCATGATGTTGGTGTCTTGCTGGGTTTTCTTTCAACACGCCCAAAAGGATGTCCACCATTTTGGTGTGCCTTTCTTTGAGAGTAGCCCGCCCGCCCCACCTCCACCATTTTGGGTGGCTTTATGGGAACAGCAAAGGAAAGCCAACCATTATTCTTGTGGGACGGCGGGGCGGGTCCCCGGAAAGAAAAAACTCCCATTGGGTGGCAGCGTTGGTGGGCTCCCCACCTCAGGTCGGGGTATGGCGGCGGCCTCGGTTGTGGATGTTCGATCCGTGCACCGGTTGGTTGCTCCTGTCTTTCGAGGCGAAAGGTACCCTTTTCTACTTGAATGTCTAAGCAACTGAGTAATTTGTTCAAATCCCACCTTTTGACCTTTGGGTAATCTTGTTTTGATCCAGTTTTAGTCGCGGCGGAAGGATAACCTTTTGGTTCCAGGTCAGCAAGTAGGTTACAAGCGTGCTTATCATTAGGGTAACTGGGGTTGGTCCCCGTACCATGGTTATAACCTACATACCGTTGGTTAAACATCCAAGTAGGGTTGGTTTTCTGTAAAGGGAAGCCACAAGTTGAAACGTTTCTTTGTTTTTTTTTGGGGAAGGTCCGATTCGAATCGATCTCGAGAGACAGCCCTGTCTCCCACGTGGCACCTAACGACCCGGGCGCTGGTGTCTGGAAGAAACTGATCTTCCACCCACCGTTTCATTGCTATTGGGTTAAATCTGCAGACTTTGACTTATGGTTGAAATCCATTTGGTTTTCCGTTGAACCCACAAACAGTGATTCACCTTTGGCAGAGGGTCTCGCCAGCAACTCAGACTGCCATGCCAACGTGGGAGGAAGGGCAACGGAACAGAGTAAGAGCAAATTGCAAGATTCAGCCGAAGACCCATATTGTACCTGGTCCGTGAGGATTCCCTTAAACATGAGAATTGTCACCCCACAATTATGGGGTGAATCCACCTTGTTTTATGGGTAGTTTCAGAGTCCCGATGAATCTTGCCAGTCTTGGAGCCACTCAACTTGGAATGTCACTCCCTCATTTGGTCGCAGAAGTCAGTCGGTTTCCTTCAGTGATGCTCTTGACATTTGCCCTGGGATTCAGGCAGGCGACCATGGAAACGAAGAACTAGAGGGTTTCATTGGACCACCATTGTTTACCGTCTAGGATTGTCACCATAAATTTGGGCCGCTTGAAAACCCCATTCTTTTAAGAGGAACCGGTTTTTCCACCTCTAGGGTTTCGTCCGCAGGTTTTCTGACATGCAGGCAGGCAACCCGACATCACTGCGAAAACAACCTCCATACGTTCCGGGGTTCGAACAAAAAAAAGGCGCTCGAAGCAAGTCCAGGGTTTCATTGGGGAGTGACCCACACGCAGTTGGGCCGCCCTTGTAATGGTTTTCTTAGTGAAACCACAGGGAGAGGGACATTGAGCAAGCTTCTCGACTTTCGAAAGTCGCGAAACAAATGAAACACGCTGCAAACCCAGGTCTGATTAACCACTCACTCCCTGGGTTCATGGACTGTACACTTTCTGGAAAAACATGTTAGTAACAAACAAACAGTTTGGTGACTTTTTCTGGCCGATCCACTCGATCGGAAGTGAGGCTTCTATTTGGTGCATGTTTTTGGCTTATAGCCTAGGTCCTCCAGAGCCTGGAGTCTCCTTCTGCCCCTTGAAAAATGGGTCAATGACCAACCATTATTTTTGAATTTTGACCCACCGTTTTTTCAGGGTCGGAAGGAGACTCCAGGTGCCCTTCCTGATCCTTTTTGAGGGTTCCCCGAGCAAATGGACCTCGTAGCTGTCCATGGCTCACGCAGGAACAGCGGCGGCCACCGTGCTGGAGGCGCCAGTTCTCGAGATCGATTCGGCACGTCAGGCAAGCGCAGGGAACCATGGTGTCCCACAAAAGCCGCGGAATGCCCCGGGAATAGCACGGGGAGCCGGGAGCCGGGTACTTCGTGGGTAGCCCTGGTTGTATCCCACAAAAGCCAAGAGAATGAGTCGGAAGGCTGAAAAGAAAAAGCCATCCATCAGCTTCCCACGAATTGGTTTAGAGCCGAATCGGTGGTTATGTGTTTGTTTGAAGGGAATCCATCACAACTGGAAATATAGCTTTGTTCCGGGGGACTCAAGCAAAAATGGACGTTCATGCTTTGTGGGCCCATTTTTCAGGGTGCCAAAATAGCTCATAAGTTTAGTTTGTTCTAAGAAGGATACCAAAAGGAGACGAGTATTTGTTTGTTCCAGACTCGCTATCACCCGGTATCCTTTTTGAGAAGAACAGTTGATTGGCAAACAGACAGCTTGGTTCCTTGTTGTGCCCATCCACGGAAGTGAGAGGCATGCCATGCTTCGCTGGGTTTGTTCCCCATTTCAGAGCCGCTTTTTTTGTGTTCAGGATACCCAGAGTTGGTTCCTGAACAATCGCTGCTGTTCCAAGGAACCAAACGGAAGCTGGTTTCGCATGGAATGGCCCGCATTCTTGATGAGAAACACCCACCTGGACCCGCCACTATAGAATAGAATTCACCTCATAATTGTGGGGCAAGATTCCACGCAAAGAAACCTCCGGGTGTGATACCTAGCTTTGCTGGATTGTGGTCTTTTGGGTACTGGTCGGACCCCTTTTTGGATGTCTCGAGGGATTCCAAAAGCTCACTTTTCATTGCGAATCGACCTGTGACCCTTTGGTTTTCCCATTTACGTCATAGTCCGAAAAGGTTGACATGTTCTTTCCGGGGTCCTTTGGAGACCGACCATCTGCGGGGGCCCCATTTTAGACAACTACCCCACTCTGGCAGCTTCTGAGCATCCCAAGTCTGCGTGCGCTCGAAGGGCATGGTTGCCCAGGGGCGGGCCCTGTGTGTCTTTTTGTTTCCGTTCAAAATCCTCTATTCATGTCATACCCCCCAAAAAAACACATTTGTTTTTTCTGGAAACACCAGGTTTTCAGATTGAGCGATTTACTGATACCTGTCGCTTGAAAGCCCACGGAACCCATATTTTCCCTCGGGTGTTGATGGACATAGCACGATTCTTGCAGATACTTGGGGAGATCTTGGCTTCGTCGGTCCCCACTGAACATCACAACGCAGCACACAGATCTTTCCCCATGGTCACTGGGCAAGCATCACCTTGCATTTCCTAAGCACCGCATCACCAAACCAAAACTAGACCAAACCAGGCCTAAACCAAATCAAATAGTAAGCAGCAGCCATACCCAGTGGATCCCAGTTATTCTTATAGTAGGTAACCAGCCATTATCCTTTTTTGTTTTTAACGGGTCATTCCCTTGACTACCCACCATACAGGTAAATGGATCCGCCGGGATAGGGTGGAATTGGAGAATTTCGATGCTTTCCACCAGCGCCACGCTTGTTGAAGTACGTCCCACGGCAGAGCGGCGGAATGCGCGAGGAGCGAGGATCGCAAGCCATTGGCCATCTACACAACTCGCGTGCCTGAAGCCGGAACACTCGTTGGTTTTCAGCAAAAACACCGGAGCTTGTCGACCTAAAGGTGTTTTGAAGGGCGGAGATTCTCAAAATGGCCCGTTGAAAGGGAAACCAAGAGTCAACCCCAACCATTTGAGGTGATCCCAATTTGAGGTGATACCAAGTCTGAGAATTCACCAACCCCTTGGTTTCCAGCGTGCAGGGCTCCAAAGAGAAGCGATACGTGGTGCGATGCGAAGGGCGCCGGGGCCCCGAGGGATGAGAGTGTCGAGTCTCGGGTTCAACCCATGGTTTGCCTTTTCCACGTTTCATTTTTGGTGCATTTTGCTTGGCTGTTAGGACTTTAACTTTTTGCCAACTCAGGGGTTTTCCACTAAACCACTAAAAGTTAAACTTTTAGCAGGGGAGCAGAAAGCAACCAAGTAATCTTGGTGGCTCCCAGCCATCCGGTTCCTTAGCCTTTTAGCTTTTTAGCTTTTAGTGGTAGTTTCCATCATTCATTTAACTCACCAGCAGTTAACCTTTTAGCGGGGGATCTGAAGGCAGCCCAGGTTCGTGGGATAAGTAAGCAGCGAAGCTGGTAGTGAAGAAACCCTTTTCAAGGGAGGCTGTTCATCTCAGTGGAAAAGGCAAACTCTAGGAGATTAAACCGCCCACTCAAAGAAACACACACCGGATTTAGATAATGACGATCCTTACTACCCAGTGCTTCCAGTTACCACTATAGTAGGTAGCCAGGTATTCCTACCTCTTTTCTCTTTTTCTTTTTTTTTACATTATGGCTTTCACTGGTTAGCTACTGTAGAGGGAATTGGACGCACATGGGTTAGGCAAACAATGGTGGTTGTATGAACTTTGATGGTTTAAAGAACCTTTACCTTTTTACATTATTTTTTAATCCCGGGGCTATGGGAGCTCGCAGAACCGCGCGAGAGGGGGGGGGGAAAGGACGGATCAGGGCAAATTATAGCGACCTCACGTTCCAGGCGTGGGGTACTCGAAATGCGTGCATGTCCTTTGTTGCAGGCAATTGCTTTCGCTGCGCGCTTATCGGCATCTTAATTACCGCAACATTCAAGACATGTTAAAGCCTTCATCAACGTCAACTGAGCCTTCAAACAACTCATGGTTAATTAAGTCAATGCCATACATGTGCTCCAAACAAGTTTGCAGCTTGCTGATTTAATGTCCATCTCTTGCAGTTCCGGACTTGGGGTAGTGGTAAACAAATACATATATATATATATAAGTCTAAGACTTGATTTTCCCATGTTGGGAAGTGAGTCAAGTGTACAAATTTGGAGTCTCATTTTGGATGGTGTGGAAATCCTCTGGATTCCTCTCTGGATTTTTTTGTGTCCCAAATGGATACGGGAAAGGCGACTTCTGACAAATACCTTCGGGTTATGAATTGCATCCCTGGTTCTTGAGGGTTATATGTTTGATTGGCAAGCTCCCTGAAATGGTGGACCCCCCCCCACTGCGTCTTGCAGAGGAGGTTTGGTCGAAATGTCTTGATTTTTCACGGGTGATTTGCGGAGTTTCCCGTCAAATCCCAAGGGCGCAAGCCCTCAATGGAAAACCTGCGTAACTTTGTTTGTCCCAGTGCTTCCAGTTCCCATTATAGTACGCAGTTGCCCAGTTGTGCTCGTTTTTCCTTTCTTGGGTAAGTTTCCCTTCAAACTCAACCAACCAAAGATGGATACCCTTTTATTCCATGGCCACTGGGCATCTGAGTAGTAGGTCGCCACGGAGCAACGTCCATGGTTAAATCTGGTAAACATTTACTGAAGGGTCTGGAAGTGCTGTGGCTGCTTGGATGCTCGGCCGAGTTAAGTGCAAAAAGCCACCTGTGTTATAACCCACCAATCACACGGCTAACTCCACTAAGGGGGCCTTCTTTAGCAGGTTATACCTTTAGGTTACAAACAACTTACTAGCTTGGCGAATCGAGCACCCTGGCAGTTCTCACAACTCCAGGCGCTTCCCTTGTTCCCACACATGGCTCCACAACCCTACTTGGTCCTGATCCTTTTGTACCTTGAGGGGTTGGTTTACCGGGAAAGCAACCGAAAACGACTCACTGCGCTTCACAAAACGGTGAGGCTGGCGTGTGAGGAATGCTCCCTCACTGAGCTCCCGAGCCCGAGACTCGCTCTGGACATGTTTGTTTTGATCATGTTACTCGTCTCAAGATGAACATGGATGAGCTTTATCTCTTTGGCTCCGTCTTTTTGAAGTGGGTGACCCTGTCTGTGTTTTGAGGGTACCCCTTTTTCTTTATGCATTTTAGTTGGATCTTTGGAGTTAAACTTTTTGGGAAGTCTGAATTGTCTGGCTCTTTGGGTCTGTCTTTCTTTGAGGGTGACCCTGCTTGGTTGGTGTTCAAGGAAAACGGAGAGGACGTTTCTTATATCTAGTCTTTTTCTTGGGGGGTAGCTCCCCTAAGAAAAGATGCACCCACATGGAACCCCACAAGTTCCCGAGTCCAGAAATCCTGGACTTTAGATTGCTGGCAATTGCTGGGCTTTGGATCATTTTGGCAGATCGGCTGGGCTCGATAGGAAGTGAGCAAAGGGGGTCCCCCAAAGGGACTCCTCTACAGATGGCGGTTTGCTGGATTCCACATCAATCTGCATTGAGGGGTGTCAGTGTATCCATGGTTTTCTGGTGCTGGGAGCTGTTGCTCTCAAAGTGAAGAATGCGCCGCAGGTGCAGTGATTGTTCATCAACTAGTGGTGGCCAAGTGAGTTGCCCTTTGTGTTGTTTAGAGATGCACGTGAGGAATACCGTGTCTTCGTTTTCATCCAAATCACATTGCTGGCAAACCCCAAGATACCCCACTCAGAGACGAGCATTGGCTTCTGGATGTTAAAAGGTGTATGGCATAGGGCCCTGGTGCGGGTTGCTTAGCCGAATCTTTTGTGAAGGCGAGGCGGCGAGCAGCTTTATCACCGATTCCGAATCGGCAATCAAGTTCCAAGGTACCCAATTGTATTGGATTCGTTTGGTTTGCCTTTACCCTCCCACCAACTAAGATGGAGCCGAACAGGCTGACAGGGGAGTCCTGGAAGACCATTTTGAAGTTAAGAGGACCCCCTGTAGTGTGTTGTGCTCTGAGGTGATTGGGACCGTCGCCACTGGTACCGTTGTGATCGGCGAGGAGAGAGCCGTACACTGAGTCCATGTCGCTGGGGATAAGCTCAGTGGTGAAGCTCCTTTGCTGGGGAGGTGCTCTTATTTCCAGTTTCCTCCATTGCTTTATAATATGTCAGAAACAAATAAAACATCCTTGTTGGTTTGAAAGGGATTTCATCACTACTGGAAATATGTTTATTTAAGCAAATGGAAGGTTAAGGGATTATAGTTTGCCAGCTGATTCACTTCCCGTTATTTTGGACATTGTTGAGAATTCCTCCGGAAACTCAGGGAGAACGGCCGGTTGTTGGAAAGAATGGTTGAAAAGAATGGAAAAGGAATGGTAAATTGAACCCCCATAGAGCCATGGTAATTGAACAGCCCCTAGAAGACAAGGGGGAGTCAACCCCTAGACAAGCAGTCTTGGCCTTTTCTGACCAATGCATGTGAGATGATGCTGGTCCAGTGGCGCAGGGCGTGCCTTTTGATTGGGTGTGCTCAGGGCTCCCGAAAAGAATTGTATCGCACAAGTTCCCACCAGCAGCACTGCCACGACCATCACCACCAGCACAAGCACCAGCACAAGCGCGACCAGCACAGCCAGCACAAGCACAACCAGCACCACCGGCACGAGCACAAGCGCGACCGGCACCAGCACAAGTACAAGCGCGACCGGAACCACCAGCACAGGCGCCAGCACAAGCACCAGCAGTAGCAGCACCAGCAGCAGCACTTCCACCACCACAACCACGAGTGGCACCTTTACGTGGTTTCGGGTAGTCCTGTAGGTTGTTTACATGGTTTCGGGGGTAGACCACTCTCTTACCAAACTTGGACTCGGTTGTCCCTCTTTTGTGAAGACTAGAAACTTGGCAGTGATTGCCCCCCCCATTCCCACCTTCCGCCTCAAGCGGGGAGGGGGGGGGGGGGATCACGGTGGATGACTCGACAACATGAGGCGCCTTGTGCCCGCCAAAAGAGGAGACTCCGAAGTTCGACTGCCATGTTCACTGGCTACTTGGATGTTCGGCCAAGCTAGTAAGTGGTTGGCCACGTGGGTTCTAACCCACTAATAACCAGGTTCGCTCAACTTAGGGAGACACATAAGCGGGTTAGAACTTAGGTTACCGACAACTTACTAGCTTGGCCGCACCCCCAAGTAAGGGGAATGGTGAAGCGTACTTGTTTATTTGTCGTGGGCGCCTGACGCAAATGAGTTAATGAACTAGTATGGGTGTGGCTCAAGATTAAGGGTTACGCAGGTTTGGTCTTTGTTCCCATGTACCGGGGTGCCAGTTTGGGGTGCCGTTTTAGGGTGGCAAAATTTGAGCCACAGCCATACGTTGCTACTTTTCCACTTTGTTCTGTCCATATCTTGCTGCTTTGCGGTGGATATGGCTTCGGCTGCAGCGTGCGACTGCCTTTCCAGGATTGGGGCGGAGAGATCGATTCCAAAGAGATCGTGGATCTTGAGAGCTGGCCTCAGTTTTGAGCCAAACTGTAAGACAGGGCTGACATGGTGCAGATGTGGCCATGGGTCAAAAGCCCGTAACCGCAGTGAACATCCTAATCCCCGCTAAAATAGACTAAAATGGGTGGTGCACCTACCCCAACATGGTACCATTGGTTTTGACCCACAGCCATGTGTGAAACTCGGGGAGCCATCTTCCTTTCACAGGGCTGCTCTTTCAGGAAACAAGGATACTAACCATGATAATCTGAAGATGCACGGCACTTAATTGCCCAACATGCTCAAGCTGCATCAATAGACAAGACACGCTCATTCTCATGCGCGGGAAGTAGGGTCGCTTCCTGTGCGATTTCATGTCACTGCGCAGTGGGCAAGGTCAGATTGAACCATTGTTCATTCAGTAGCTGACAAAAGCTACCGAGGTCGAAGCCACCGATCGAAGACCTATTCCAATTGGATGGCTCTGGAAAGGTCGTATTCATAGGCTGCGACCTTGCTGGTCCCTTCTGGCTCTTGGTTGGCATCCTTCCTCCCTTCAACTACTTTGTCATTTCAAAGGGGCATCACAGAAATTTGGCCCTAGTATCTAGTTTTCCACAAGCATGGTGTGGCAGCTTTGAATAGAGTCAAGGGGGACATACAAAGAGCATATTTCGATCGCTTCAGTTTGTGGTATGACATGGCAACGTAGGAACCCTGGCGCAAAAGCTCCCGTCAGGATTTGTGGACATGCACAGATTTGGGAATGACCCTGGGCCAAGTGTGGTCTCACTCCCTGAGTTCTTTAAACTTTTGGGAAGACCATTTGCGTCCCAGGTTCCCAAACAAAACAGTCGCCAACGGCCAGTTACTAGCTATCAGGTCACTAGGAGTCGCTGGGAGGGCAAGTAGCAAGTTTGGGCTGTTTCTGGCGCTCGATCGGAAGTGGGTGGGCTGGGAATCAATGGAACAGTTCAGAGGACCTACGCACAAAGACCCCTTCGGCATTTCTGCTCGCTTCACGGACGGAGCCACACAAGGCTTGGAACCTGAGTGCAAACTTTGCAGTTGATTTGTGAGCGTTCGCTGGGACTCCGACCTCACTTTCTTAGTTGGCATTAGCTTTCTTGGATGTTCGTTGCCAACTGGGTCAGCAGGTTATAGCCATTGTTATGACTCGGATAACTGAGGCTGGTTCCCTTATAGCCGTGGTTAGCGGCTTGGTTGAACATCTAAGTCGGCAAGACCATTTTAAGTCCCTACTCTTTTGACCAACCCGCACAAGAAGCCAGCAGTTGGGTATATACTCAAAACAATGGGACTGAAGAGAAGCCAGTGCTCCGAGAAAAAAGCAACATACTCTTTGCGCACTCTGTAAAGGATCTTCCCTTTTCACTCGGTTTCTGCGAACATGGGTTGATATGCCTTACACGCATGGCCTCCCAAAACGATGAAGCACATCATGGCACTCAAACGGCCCCATTTTTGGTTCGGGGTCCGGTGGGTTGGGGTCCAGTGGTGTCAGAAGAGGCGAAAGAGCCCTGGGAAACGGATCTTTTGCGCTTGGCTCTTGGGGTTCCAGCCTGAAGTGTGGGTTATCTTCAATGGGTTTGTGTCAAGATAGAAACAAGACAGCCCTCAGAATCCGAGTCCGACAAAAACCAGCCGGTGGAAAGGAGACCTGAAAAAAAAGATACCCACACAATCACACCCGGTCACTGCCTTTCGCTCAGGCCGACAGGCCTGACGCAGCAGGATGACCGCCTCACCACTGAGGTGCTCAATAAGGCCCGCGAAAAACTGCGGCGTGTTTTCTAATAAGAAAAAAAAACAACTTTCCCCCCCCCCCCGCGGTCCTTTCTACGGGCCCAGAGGATCCTAGGCAAACCCTTGTAGGCACCCGGCGTTTTTCCGCTTGGGGTTTCAAAGGGCGTTTGTTTTTTTCTTTTTCTTTTTTTTTCTGGGTTTCTTATACAGCTGAGAACTCTTATGTCACCAGATGGCTTTGGAAGGGTTCTCTTGGAAAATGAAGGGGATTTAAAGGGCGGATGTCCGCTGGGGTTTCGAAGGGCTGTTTTCTTGGTTACCTATGCAGCTGAGTTGGGATATTCTGTTCGGCCCCCAAATGACCATGCGTATTTTTCTCCCATTAAACAAGGGACATATATTCTTGTTTGGTGGTTTTCTCAATGGTCATCCCATGTAGAGGCTGGATAAGCAGGCTGGAAACTGATTTAAGCTTGCCCGGACCAACTATTCTGATTTATCGAACTGTGTGTGTGGTTTGTTTGCAAGGCGTTTGTGTGTGTGTATGGTGTGTGTGGTGTGTATATGTGAGTCTGGTGTGTGTGTGTTTGTGTGTCTCTGTGTATGTGCGTGTGTGTTTGTGTGTGTGTGTGTGTCTCGTGTTAGCAGCATGTTCTTGGAAGTTCTACTTGCAGATCCGCCTTTTTGTCAAACTATCCGCCTAAGCTGTTCCTTTTCCTTCCAAGACATTTGGTTCTGTCGTTCTTTGAGGGTACCCTATTTAGGGTTGGTTTGAAGGGGAGCCACAAAGGAAACCAACCATTCTCAGGGTTTTGGTTTTGTGAGGGTTTTCGTGCCCTATTTAGGGTTGGCTTAAAGGGGAGCCACAAGGAAACCAACCATCCTGAGGGTTCCCTTTTCAATTGGAGCCCAGGCTGGTTGCATCGCAAGGTTCGATCTCCGCCCAGAAACCGCGGAGGCGTTGACGAGCCTCACGGAGCTTTGGGTGAAGGTGACCCGACTGGAGGCGATTCGGCGACTCGGCGCGCTCGCCGCTCGCGTCGGCGTCCAAAAGGGACAGACGTGATGGACAGATTCCGCTTGGCAGCAGTTGGTAGGTGGTTTATCCCATTCATAGGCCTTCATCCATCCCAACTGGTGTAGGGTTTTGTCAATGTATAGGTGTGAATCTTATGAGTCTGAATAACGGATGCGGAGTGGATGTGTTTTGTTTTGAGTGTGCTTATTTTTGGATGGTTTTAAAGGGAAACCAACAGGAAAATTGAAGCCACTTGGGGAAGGCACCTAAAACAAAAAAAACAGACACACCCAAATGTACATCTCATGTGTTCTTTTTGTCCACCAACCATTCGACGGCAGTTTAGAGAACGGCTCCAAGGATGTTTCCTAGAACCATGACCAGCACAGGAGTTTTGGTCGAGGTGCTGGGGTTCCAAAGGTGCTTTACATTGCGCAGAGGGTTTTACCACTTGCTGGTTCGATCGGGAACCACCATTTTTTCCCTTTAATACAGAATCCCAAGAGCTTTGCTCGAGAGTGGGTAATAACCATGGCTATAACCCACTTACCATGGCTATAAGTCTCATAAGTGGGTCAAAAAGTCAGGCTTACAAACCACCTAAGTACCGAATCGATCGCCCCTTTAAGCAGTCCACTCAGAAAGGAAGACCAAAGCGCGGCTCTTTTGCACCTTCGAAAACCGAAGCTCGGGGACCTACCAGTCAGCTCGTCAGCTTGTCAGCGCAGGCACAAGAGCCTATGGGTGTGTCCGAGATCCGACGTGACGCAGCAGCAGGCTCGGTTGGGAGGTTTGGCGGTTTGGGCGGGGCCGGCGGGGAGCTGGGGGGGGGGGCAGCTGGGGCCAGCTGGGATTCTAAGATCAACCCAGCCATGATGAAAGAGGCTTTGGGACGTGACGTTCCTGGCTGTGGCTTCGGGACTTGCTTTGAAGTCCAGGCTTAGCACCTTCCATTCGCGATTTTTTATTTGTTCAGCTTGCCGGTTTTAGAGGGAACGCATCACTACTGGAAGCAGGTGGTTTTTTCCTGGGGACTAGAGCAACTGGAGGTAGCCAATGCATCATGCGCTGCACCAAGCCACTTGGTGTGCTTTGCTTTGCCTGGATGCCGGCAAGCAATCAAATGAGGCGCCATGAATTTGCACTGGATACTTTACATATCTATTCGTGTACATGCACCCACATAGATGTACATTCCTGGACCCCCGACAGGCCCCTGTTTTCTGCCTTGCCACTTCAACCACCCTATCAGCTTTTTTCTTCAATGCAAGAGCATTTTCCTAACTGACATCTTTAGAGGTAGTTTGCTGACCCGTTCAATGCATTCTAAATTGGGTTCCTTTCGAATGCTACGTGTGAGCATCCTGTGGCGATCAGAGGCCCTGCTAGTAAAACCCGTTCAATTGGGGTTCTTGGGCTGGTTTATTTCGCGAAATTTGATTTTTGGTCCGTCCCTTTTTTCGGGTGCCCCCCTTGTTGGGGTGCGTTTCAGGGGGGAACTACTGAAAAACCACCCAGCTTTGGGGTTGCAAAGTTGCAACTCCTCAGGGGGGATCTATTGCCTGCGGCGGAACGCCATGGGTTACGGGCTCTACCAGGTTGGACATCTGCAGAGTTGACATCGGTCGGCGATGAATATCTCAAATTGACAAGCGCACAGCTTTCGATTACGGGAACATATATGACATAATATATATATATATATATGATACGCTATAACAGATGACGCATGAACATGGTCGTCTGTGTACTATACACATATATATATATATAAATTTATAAATACACATATTATGTGCACGCGGTATGTCTAGTGCAAGTGTGTGGGAGGAAGCGCGTACGCTTCTCGCAAGTAAATTCCTCTTGCTCGTTACGAGTCAGATATCCATCCATGGATGGATGGATCGATGAATGGATGGACGCATGGATGCATGCGTGTGGCTGGATGGATGGATGGATGGATGGATGGATGGATGGATGGATGGATGGATGGATGGCTGGATGGATGGATGGATGGATGGTCGATGGATGGATGGATGGATGGATGGATGGATGGATGGATGGATGGATGGATGGATGGGATGGATGGATGGATGGGATGGATGGATGGATGGATGGATGGATGGATGGATGGATGGATGGATGGGATGGATGGATGGATGGATGGATGGATGGATGGATGGGATGGATGGATGGATGGATGGATGGATGGATGGATGGATGGATGGATGGATGGATGGATGGATGGATGGATGGATGGATGGATGGATGGATGGATGGATGGATGGATCGGAGGGATGGATCGGATGGCTCGGATGGATCGGATGGACCGGATGGATCGGATGGATCGGATTGGTGGGTGGGTGGATGGATGGATGGATGGATGGATCGGATGGATCGGATGGATTGGCCTAGACATGTGTTTCGTGTTCTTCACCCCGGGTTGAGGTGATAGGGGGTTTTCAAGGTGATAGGGGGTTTTCAAGGTGACACGCCATTTCGTGCGATAACCCCCGTTTCGTGCTGATCACCCCGCAGTCAAGCCAAATTTGGAGTGTGAGGCTCATATAAAATCATTTGTTTGCACTATGTCACTATGCGCCTTTTTGAGGGGGTTGGTGGCAAAAGTGTCACGGTTTTGTTTTTGCACGATCTTATTGCGGCGCTGCCCGAGCTTGTGTCGGCTCAATCGGACATGTGTGGGGCCTCCCCGGCCCGCTGGCTTGGCACTCAGCGTCAACTGCCTGCACGCAGGCAATATTTGCATGACGCATATTCACCATATATCGATCCGCAGCTGCGTGCCGGCTCAACGGAACGCGGCCCCTGCGTCATGGCGCGTCCGCAAGGCCGGACGCATGCAATATAACATCGGATCCATTGTCCATCCATTAAGTCTTCACAGGCCCAAGCACGGAGCTCTCCGTGCTCCAGCGCGAGGTGGAGGAGCTGGTCAGGTCCTTGCCTGGTGGAGGCACCACTGGCGTTGGGCCCAGAGCTCAGAGCTCATTAAAATTTTGACCTCGCGGCGCGGCAGCTGCCATCGATCCTGAGGCTGTCCTGGCCGCCGACCACCGGCCAGCGCCAGATGGGGGCCTATGTCAAGAGCTACGCGACGGCCATGCAAGCCAGGCACTGGCACGTGCAGCGATCACGCATGCTTTTTTTGCGCGGCAGGCCTCCCGCGCTGCTGGACCAGCGGCCTTGGCCTGCGCAGTGGGGTGTCGGCTGTTGCTGCAGGGTGCATAGAGCTGGTGTGGGCCTTGGCTCTTTTGGCCGGTCTCTCGTCGTCGCTCGGTCGGTCGCTTTGCGCAGGCGAGCGACCATGCTCTGCGTGGCGACCGTCCTCTGCATGCAGGGAGCGGGCCTCATACATGCATGCGTGTGGGAGGGGGGGTCGGTCCGCTGCTCGGGCCAGGCTGTCGCGGGCACGTTGGTCGAGTGAGATAAGAGGAGACAAAAGGAATTTGATCTATTTTTGTACGTATTTTGAGTTGAGACACGCATTTCTTTGTTTGTAAGCAGATATATATATATATAAACATATATACAACTCAATATAAATTTAACGATATAACAATATTTATATATATATAAACAAATACATATTGATGTACGTATACTCACGCAGTCAACAAATCACCCCTACCTAAGTTGCCTGTGAGAAATTAACCCCATGGAAGGTGTGAACACACAATCGTGGAGACCCCCAAAAAATAACGTTTCCACCGAAGCATATTTGGGTTTTGATCCGCGTCCCCTGGCAGCGCTGTTTCTGGCAAGCTTGCAAGTCATACTTTCATCTTGCTAGCGTGGCGCAGCGCAGGGCCAGATGTTTCTTTTTAGAGTTGGCGCGGCAGCGCCTCAGCCTTCTAAAAATGGCTAGGGGGTGATCAAGGTGATAGGGGTGATCAAGGTGATAGGGGGTTTTCAAGGTGGGTGGGTGGATGGATGGCCGGATGGATCGGATGGATCGGATGGATGGGTGGGTGGGTGGGTGGGTGGGTGGATGGATGGATCGGATGCATTGGATGGCTGGGTGGGTGGGCGGGTGGATAGGTGGATGGATGGATGGATGGCTGGATGGATGGATGGATGGACGGATGGATGCATAGAACTACATCCATGGATCCATCCATACCTGCATACACGCATGCTTACAGGGGTACGTGCATCCACGCAAAAATTAAATATGTTGATTCATTTAATTCGCTTGTGTGTTCGGTCGTTCGTTTGTTTCTTCATTCACTAAATCATGTGTTTGTTTAATGTTTCATTCATTCATTCGTTCGTTCGTTCGTTCCTTCGTTCGTTCGATCGTAATTCACTCACTCACTCAGTTCATCCATTTCCTTCCTTCACTTCAATTCACTTCACTTCACTTCACTTCACTTCACTTCACTTCACTTCACTTCACTTCACTTGATTCATGAGTGCATTTACTCATGAAATGGTTCATGGATTCATCCGCGTGTTCGTTCATTGGCTCATGTGTTTGTGTGTTTGTTTGTGTGTGTTTGGTTGTTTGTTTGTTTTTGTTTGTTTGCTTGTTTGTTTGTTTGTTTGTTTGTTTGTTGTTTGTTTGTTGGTGTGTTTGTTTGGGTGTTTGTCTGTTCGTTCATTTGTTTTATAGACATGCATGCATGCATGCATACATACGTACTTTACATTGCCTTACCTTACACGACAAACTGCAATACCTTTGAATCGTAGGTTGTCGCGATAACTGCGGGGCACTTGAAAAATATCAGACATGCCATTTTGCCTTTCACATGCGCCTCTGATAACTACGATCATAATTGAGGTGTTTGTTTGCTTGTTACTTGCTTGCTTGCTTGCTTGTTTTTTTGCTTGCTTGCTTGCTTGCTTGCTTGCTTTCTTGCTCGCTCGCTCGCTCGCTTGCTTGCTTGCTCGCTTTTGTGTGGTTTTGGTTGTTTGTTTGTTCGCGTTTGTGTGTGTGCTTGTTTGTATTGCTTGTGTGTTTGTGTTCCTGTGTTCTGTTTGGCGTTGGTTTAGTTTGTTGTTCATTGCATTGCTTGGTTCAGTATGTTTTGCTTGTTTGTTTGTATGTTTGCAGCCCAGGAAGTGAACTGCCACAATGCCTGTCTTCCATCAAGATCACATTCAGGCATGTCCGTTGGAGATTTAGCAGGTTTCAAGTTTCAGCCCCGCAGAGTAAAGGCAAATCCAGGAGAAGTCCAACCAACTCGAAATTCCCGACGGTCCAATGCAAGGGTCCAATTAGTCATGGATAAATAATCCAAATGGGGATTTGGGGTCCTGGAAAGTTAATTGTTTTTCATTTTTAGAATATTTTGTTGGTATGTATATAGCAGTTTTTACCCAAAACCGAGGGGAAATCCCTGGACCCAAACCCAGGTGAGAAGCCCAAATCCCAAACCCACACCCCAGGCGGGCCACCTTTACTTGGATTTGGGGTAGATCAACTGAATACCAGGTTTTGATTGTGACTCATTTGCTACTGCAAAGTTTCAATCCCAGGGGTTGCTCTGGGGTGTTGACACACCACTTCCTCAAATTCGGTTGCCGCCATCAAAAAAAAGGGCGTTAACCCGGAGGGACCTTTGGTACCTAAAACCCTCAAACGGTGAATTCCTTGCTGGTGCGATTGGTAGCGAATGTGGGAATGAACCCGGGAAACCACCAGCTGGAGTTTTTTTTTAAAAAAACAAAAAAAACTTTTTTTATGGGGGTCATTTTCCATAACTCTCATTTCAAGAACCTGGAAGGTCCTCCATTTCTGGGGAAACCATTACATTCCCTTAAAGGAAACCACCAGCCGCTCTCTGCCGAAAAAGTCTCTTGGGAAAAGTTTCCCCGAAATCCCTCGATCTGGAGCCTCCCAGGACGACGCTGAGCCTTTGGAGGGCCCCATGGTTTTGCTGCCGGAGGCGACCGATGTCGGGGTGGTTTTAAGGACCACACCTTTTGGGGGTGGTGAAAAAAGGGGGCCAAAAGGACAAGCACCATTTTAGGAGGCCCCTAGAACACTAAAGACTTCCTGCTGGTGCGTACAAACGGTGCTCAATATATAGCCCACCAATTCTGGGGAAGACTTCCTTTTGCCCAGTAAAAGCAGTGGGTGTGACGTAGTGTCACAAATGCCAGATCAACAATTGTCCGTTCCTGAACCCTTTGATCGTTCCTAGACTGCCTGTCGGGGCGTTAAAAAACACACAGCGTCCAGCAAATGAGCCACAATCAAAACCCGGGTAGATGAAGGTTAGTAAGGGCCAATCCCAGCCAAAAATAGCTGCGGCCGCCTTCTTATTTCTTTACATGGTTCTGGGTTCACCATAATACCGGCTTTTTTTTGTGGCTCAAATGGGATTTACTTTGTTGGCTGGGAGTGGCTTCCTTACATTGCTCATTTGGAGTACTAGGTGCTCAGAGTTTGCCAGGTTCCCCCAATAGGACATATGACATGGAACAGACTATCTTGTTTCAAAGCACTTTATAAACGGAATATGTGTTTTTTAAACATGGGGATTCCAGCAAGCTAAGCGGCCACCTCACAAAATGATTCAGTGCGGGGCCGAACTCACAAACTCGCAAGCAAATACGTTTTTGTGTGTGGGTATGCCTTTTGCAGTTGACACCCTTTTCACCCTGGTTCAAGGAGAAACCAAAAGAACAACCACCAGCGTGAGGTGGGGGGGCATGTTCGGGGTCGAGGTGAATTGGTCAGAGTGAGAGAGAGTGCCCTTTGAAGCGAAACCAAGAGGATTTCAATGCACCCCACAGGTCACAACGGCTGTGGCTCAAAGATTGGAGACCAAACCGGCATCCTGGTAACTGGAGCAAAAGACCAAACCCTGCGTAACCCTCGCTTTTTTTCCTTTTTTGTTTTTTTTGTTGTTTTTCGCCAGACCCAAATGGGTGTGTCTCCTAGGGAAGCCCATCCACCCGAACTTATTCTGTGGCTTTGATCCAACTCAACTCACAAAAGGGCAAGACACACCCAATGATTCTTTCCATGTTAATCTGGAGGGCTGTGGGATCAAGGGGAATTTTACCCCACTGTGATACCTTCGGGAATCTCCCAAGCGTTTTGTGGTGGTTTGGGTTGTGTGTTAATCTGGAGACGATGTCCTTTTGCATCTCTATGGATTCTGCAGCCTTAGGTGCCAGTTTTTCGACTACAAAAGAGACACCAACAGAACACTGTTTAGAGCCATCTCCATTCGGATTCCATTTTTGTCCATGTCTGATTTTCTTTGTCTATGGATTCTGCGGGCTTTGGAGCTACCCAGCTGTTGGACCGACGTTGAGGTGATGGTGGCTACAAAGCAGACACCCATGGATGGCTGAGTTTAGAGCCATCTCGGCTTTTCCTCAGAATTCGCAGGTAACGGAAATTTCACCGTCCATTTGGTATTGTTCTTGGGTTTTGCCACTGAGCTGAAAAGTCACGAAGTGTTATTCAAGGTCTTTGCAAGGTTCCCTGCTGGGAACTCTCAGTTTACATTTTTACCTGTCTAAGGTTCACCGAGAGAATGTCAGAATCCCCTTTGACGCGACAAAGTAGCCCTAGATTGCACACTCTGGTATCGCAGAAAGGGCTATTATCTACAAGCATGTCACACGAGCGGGGCATCACCACCGAGTATTTTGACTGGTCAGTTCCTTAAAGACTTACAACAAGGGATGAAACTTCCAGAGTTTCCCCATGAAATAGGGGTAACTCCCAAGAAGTGTCTTTCCTTATTTCCCTACAAAGAAAAGTACCCATATTTGCTTTCCCAGCCCAGGGAACAAGCAAACTGGGTTGTCACCACCCACCTGGGTGTGTCTTTTGTTCGTGGACCCCCCAAAATGGATTTCGGGCTTCCTTTTGGCGTCCCTTTCTCGGTCACCCCAAAAGAAGGACACCACTCTTTGCTTGCTTCGCCCAAAGCAAAATGGGTAGGCGCACCCACCTGTGTGTTTTGTTATTGGACCTCCTAAAATGGCCAAACGTCTTTCCTTTTGCCTTCCCAAAACAAATCAAACCACGGGCTTCCTTGTGGCGTCCCCTTCTCACCAAAAAGACGGTGGCCCCCCAAAAACGGGGACGTGGACCCACCCCCAAAGCCGGTGCCGCCCCCCCCCCCCCCCCCGGGACGTGGACCCGCCGATCCGTTCTCAGCGCTTGTCCCTGGAGCTGCGTCTGGATGCACAGAAGGCAGCCTCCGAGAGGAATGAGGACCGTCACGGCTCGGTCTGGGGAATGGTCTGGGTTGTTTTTGTTTTGTTTTGTTTTTGGTTTGTTTTGTTTGGTTTGCATTTTGTTGGGTTTGGTTTGTTTTGTTTGGTTTGTTTTGTTTGCTTTGTTTTGTTTGGTTTGGTTTGGGGGGCTTGTAGGGGCCTAGTGGTGTGTTGTGTTGTTTTGGTATGGTTGTTTGTCTGTCTGTTTGTTTTGTTTTGTTTGTTTGGTTTGCTTGTTTGGTGTGTGTGTTTCTTTGTTGTGTGACTGATTGCTTGATGGCTTGATTGTTTGATTGTCTGACGGTGGTTGTTTCTGTCTCCGTCAGTGTGGTGAAACTGATTCATTGATTGCTTGCTTGTTGGTATGTCTCTTTGTGTGTTTCTTCGTGTGTTTCTGTGCATCAACCCCTGGGCACATGACGCCGTACTGTGCGAAGCTTCGTTTTCGCGCTCGGACCACTCACAGGGGTCCCGATATGGCCGCTTTTTTGGGCCCATGTGAAGCGTTGGTAGGACATTGTCAGGTTGGACATCTGGGAGATGGCATTTAACTTATAATTCAGGAGTGCCTTTGAACGTGTCCATCGTCTTCTGAACCCCTTCTTTTGGGTCAACGGCAAAAAGGGGCCCATTGCCCTTCTGAACATGCGATGTGCTAATAGCTCACCGACCAAAAATAATGCTATGAGCGAAACCTTCACAGGTAAAATCAGTCGCGCGCAGCAAATCCCTTGAGGTCCTGAATTCCATCCTGCCCAAAAGGCTTCCCCCACCCCCCCGGTCCCCCCACCCCAAAAGAAACAACACGTTGCCCAGCAGCGCCCTTTCTTTTTCTTCTTTTTTTTTGGGGGGGGGGGGCGGGGATTCCCCTTCAAACTCAACCATCCACCAAACAGGGATGCCCTTTTTCCCCCTGGCCACTGGGCATCGAGACAAACATGCTCACCCAACAACGCTGCAGCAAATTGAAGCTGGAAATCATCTACCCTCCTATCCACCTACATCGGAACCCACCAGAGGGTCCCTTTCACTACTGGACATGTTTCTCATTTTTGCAGGGGGCCAAAAAACGCAAATGGAAGCAACCAAAAGCCGGGTGCCCTTGCCCCAAACCGTTCGCTCGCTCGCTCGCTCGCCCGCAAATCGGAGCCGCAGGACGTGTCCCTCACCTGGAAGCTGCTGGGCGCCGCGGAGAGCCTGGGAAGACTCTTCTCCGATGAGGCCGGTGAACAGGAGCCAGGGAAACCAACTACACTCCCTCAGGCTCACATGGAGGTTCCCAGGAGGCCGCTGTAAATGGAATCAAGTCTTCCATTTCGGGGTTCTGGGAGCTTCCATGGAATCGCCTTGGAAAGAGTAGCAGGGATACCGCTTGATGCAGCACTAAGTCTATGGGAAATGGCGTCAAGTTGGAATCACCCCCTATCTCCGCTCCCTCCGTATCCCCGCTTGTTCGTTTGTCAACAGGAGGGGGTCCCGGTCAAAAGGAACGAGTGTGATTGGTTTTCGGAGGGTAGGTTTGCTTTGGCCTCAAAACCGACCGGAGGTGTAAAGGGATGACCAAAGGGAAACCATTTTTTTCCGAAGGGTACCATGATGTTGACAAACTCTCACATGGATGTGTGTCTTGCCCACAAGGCCCCAAACGGCACCTCAGTTGTGTGTTTAACGGCTTTGGGGTTGTCATCCGAGGGACTTGTGAGCATGGCAAGGGCTTGCCAGGGTTGCTCTTTCCGCGGGGGCAGAGTGCCATCCGATCCCAACGCTCGTTCCGAACTTTGGGGCGCTTACCAGGGTTGCTCTGCGAATTGGGGGGGAACGTATGGGTGTGTTTTCTTGGTGGCTCCCAGCCATCCCCTTAGCTTTTTAGCCTTTGAGTGTTTAGTGGGATTTTCCATGTAGCCCACTAAAAGTTAAACTTTTAGCGGGGGATCTGAGGACAGCCTAGTTTTGAGGGTATACGGCTTTTTTGTGGTTGAACGCGGGGACCAAGAGGAGAACCACAAGTTGAAAGCTGAGTGCTGGGTGCCTGGTCGCCAACATGTTTTGATTTTTTGTTTTTTCTCCTCTCAGAAACCAAAAGGGTAGCTTCTCCTCATTTTCAGGGCACGGGCAAACCAATTTCAGGTGCCCATTCAGAAACATGAAGGGCATGGGTCATGGGTCTTTCTTCAGCCTCTCATTTTCAGGGCCTGCAAAGCTAACCAATTCCAGGTGCCCCCAAGCAGAGAGACGGCTGCCTGACGGGGTGTAGCAATTCCAGGTGAGCCACAATCAAAACCCGGGTAGATGAAGGTTAGCAAGGGGCAGTCCCGGCAAGTAATAGTTGCGGCCGCCTTTCTAATTCTTTACATGGTTCCGGGTTCAGCATATGTGTACCAGGTTTTGCAGCAATTCCAGGTGGGTCTGAACAACGAGGACCTCAAGGTCCCCGCGAAGGTGCGAAGGCCCGAGGATATGCCGGGGAGCCCCAAGAGAAGTTCGACGGAAGAGTTGGGCCTGTCCTGTTTCGATTTTTTGGGCGGTCCGCGTCTTTATTATTAGTATTTTTTTTTTTTTTTCTCGGGAGGGGGGACTTATTTCATCCCTCCCTGAGTTTATGGACTTTTTGTGGGTTTACCATGGTGCAAACTGGAGCCCATGTGTTAGACCCTGCATTCTATTGCGTATTGATGGCCGGACTAAGCTGTTTGTTGCGCCATTTTGCCCGGGTTTCCTTCATTTGCCCTTGCCAGCGGATGGTTTTGTGCAGGGGTCGCTCGGATCAATTGGTTTGGCCAAGACTTCAGCATGGGCCACCCTTGAGAGGGTATCCCAGTTGCAGCAAGGAGTCGCAGTGGATCCCGCAAACATAACTCGCTGGATCTCCTTGGAGTAAAGATGTTTCCGGGTAGACCCACGAAACATCATTAGGTCATATGAGTTTCTGTGTACCCCAGATGCTAGCCAATAAACTAAAAGGAATCGCTGGGTGTACCGGGTCTCCGCCTGTTGGTCAAATATGTTAAGGTATGGGTTTTGGAGGTGTGGAGGTTACATACCACTTATATACTGTAGGGGTTATGTACTGCTTTACAAGTCTATATTGATGGTACGCATCCATACTGTCCAACCCCAGATTCATCTGAAAATTCCTTGGAAGTTGCTGAGGTTCGAGCTGAAGCAACGCGACCAGCTCAAGAAGGTGCAGCGCGAAAGAACCCATCCGCGCCGATCGGATCGATCTCAGCGGAAGCCATGCCGTTCTGCCCAACCGGGTTCCCTATGTTCTCAGTTACTTTGTTTGTTTTCCGTGATGTTAACTATCGAAAAACATCTCCGGGACTCGCATGGCTATATATAATCAGCTGAATCCTGCTGAAATGATGGTTACCCAATGGTTTAAAACGGGGAAGGGGTGGAGTTTCTCCCTTAGGTTTGTCAGACCTACCTACATTTCCCCTTCACGGATGGTGTTAGGCACCACCTTGGCCAATTTAAATTGAGGGTTCTTCTTTTTGTTGGGGTCATGTTCAAAGGAGAAATATGGGTGTGTCTTTTCTTGAGGATACCCATTTTTCTGGGTGGCTTCAAGGAAAACCCAAACGGACCACCCAAATCCATGGGAATCCAATTCTTACAGGACGAGCCGCCCAGAATGGAGAATTTTGGTCCGGCGAGAAGCCTCCGCTTTCTGTGGGCGCCAGGACCTCCGAGGACATTTTCCTGGGGCCCTGGGGGCGAGGTTTAGCAAGCCTGGATTTATAACCCAGTTGGGAGACTTATAATACTCAGTTGCCCAAAGCGAGCCGGCCTTTTAACCTTTTGGTTTTTCAAGTTTGGTCTTTCTTTAGTAAAGGCCCCGAAAGGTTAACCTTTTATTTCTGGGTCCTTTGGGCGACTGAGATAACCATGGTAAGTGGGTTATGCCTATCATTAGGCTTACTAACCACTAAGCACCCTGCCCCTTTAAGCGTTCCCCTTGTTTCCTTGGAGGGGAGTTCTCCTTAAACGGATGCCCCCCTTTTCTTTTTTTCCAGTGGGGCTGGGTTTAGAGATCGCAAGAACAAGTTCCTTGCGGCACGACCTTGTGTTCGATTGTCTACGTCCCCCAGTGCCCGTTTACCCTTTTTGGGGGGAGGGTTCCCCTACTAAAATAGAGTACAGAAAAAAAGGGTACCCTTATTCTAACCTCTCTACTGGAGGACTTAGTTGTGCACCACCAAGAAGCGGGTCCACGCCTGTCGCTTGCCACCCCCAGACCTCCAGTGGTGACCGTGTCCCCTTTTTGTTGCCTTTCAAGTCGACTTCTATTTGCTGAAGAATACATTTCATTCCCCCCTCTTGGTTTGAACCCCCCCATCTCGCCCCCCCCCCCATCTCCCCCCCCAATCTCCCCCCCATCTCCCCGCATCTCCCCACCCATCTCCCCCCCCATCACCTCTTTATTTCCCCCCCCCCATCTCCCATCTCCCCCTGGAAATAGTTTCTCAATTCTTTCCAGGGCACAGAGATGCTCCCCCCGCCGCCCCCGCCCCATCTCTCTTTCTCCCCGAACTTCTAGTCGCGCAGGCGGTGGCTTCTGTCCGAGCTCCCGTCACGGAACTGGTGGAAAAGGCTTGCGGGGGTGGTTGCGGGTCATGTGGCCGTGGGTCAAAAAAGTGGCACCAACCTTTGTGCCTCTTGGATGGAAAAAACAACATTTGCGTAACCCCAGCGCTTTAATTTTGAGCCACACCCATGTGATGTCATCCTAGGACGCAAACGGCACAGGTGTTTGTTATTCCTATAGGACGCTGTTGGCTTTCTTTCACATGAAACCGGTCTTTTTCCCCCGAAACAACATGCAGCTTTTTGGGGCACCAGGATCTGACATTTGTTTTCCTTGACACTAAACTGATGGTGGGATCAAATACTAAAATCACAGGTGTGTGGTTGAGCGTTGGGGACAAACAACATCAGACCAGCCCCCGTACAGCGAGAATGTTTCGCTTCGAAGCCTTTGATCAGAACATTTCGGTCCGGAGCCTTCTGGAGGCAGAGCCTTTTGTTGTCTTCCAGAGGAGAGGCTCTAGGTCTTGCCTTTAAGGAGATTCCGATTGCAAGGTGCATCAAATTCCCGCGCTTTTGGACCCCCATCTGAGAGCCAAGAGTTGCTCTCACGTTTCAAGGCTCATGTGGATCGCAATGTTGGTGGCGACAGCACTGACTTTGTGTCACTCCGAATGTGAGAGAAGCGGCTGATAGAGAAGTCATGCTGGAGCTTCGCTCTTCAGCCTTCCTCGTTGGTTGACTCAATCCCTGGGTTCCTGGACTTTACTTGTTACAAAGACCATAGCGGCAAACACAAAGGCTGATTGGTTTCTTTGCCAATCCACGGGAGGAAGTTATTCTATGCGTGCCTTTTGGATGTGACTTAGCTCGCGCAGCTTAGTTCCAGGTCTTATGGGCAAGTGCTCAAGCGATCGATTCGGTACTTAGTACGTGGTAAGCCTGGTTATATCCCAAGTAGGAGACTCATAACCATGGTAAGTGGGTTATAGCCATGGTTATTTCCCACTTACTAAGTAGAATGTCTCTTTAAGTGGTACCTTGTTGCCCTACCTCCATTTGCGAATACGTCTCCGGAAAAAAGCAATAGCAATAGCCACATGTCCAGCAGCGACAGAACTCCGTAAGCAGCATGTTCGGTTTCTCTTTGGTTTCCCTTTGAACTGTTCACCCGACACATCAGCACCAAGTCCAACGAGACAGAAGGAGTGGCAAACCCGGGAAAAACCTGGGCACCTGCAACAATTGAGCGTTGTTCCGCAGAGGAGACCCGTCAAATATTTTTTTTCCCGCCGAAACCATTCACAAAAGGGGCTTTAAGAAACCTCCAATCATTTTGTTGCAACTTACCTCTGAGTTGCTCCACTTCCGAAGCAGAATCGAGTGACATTCGCTCGAGCCTAGCTTTTATCACTGTCAGACGTAGCCAACTGTTTCCTCTTTTGCTTTGTTGCTTGTCCAAGACGGAGATATTCTTAATTTCGGGTAAATGGCAGCGGGTTTGAAGGGTCAGAAGGCGGCTCCAGGTACGATGAATGCCCTGGATATCGCCACGGGAAGGACGACAGGTCTCTAACTTACCAGGGGCATCTGCCGCCCCTGGGAAGTGTCAGGAACAAGATGGGTGAACAGCCACCAAGCTGCCTTTGGTGGCTTGGAAGTTTGGCCAAATCAAGTGGTGTGCCAACTGTGTTTGAACCCACTAACACGGTGAACTCCACTGAGCGCGGGGATTATGAGCAGGTTCTTCCGTTCATTACCCCCCCCCGTTATGGTGGTTTTAGTCTTCCTTCAATACCACCAAACAAAGCAAGCCAACGAAATGTTCTTTTGGGGTCCCCCCCTTTTATGGCAGTTGTTGTGTTCCTTTAAACCCACCAACTCACCAAAAAGGGGAACCGGCCCCTTTGTTTGGTGGTTGCAGTTCTCCCTGTCAAATTCGTGAAGCCGCCAACAAGAAGGGGACAGTCCAAGAATTGGAAACACAAGCCACCCATGCGGCTTATCTAGGTCCCCCAGTGCCCTTCTCTCCCCTTTTTTTGGGGAGGGTTCCCCTAAAATAGACGTCCTGAAAAAAAGTTGGTACTCTTATTCTAACCTCTCTACTGGAGGACCTAGTTAAGCCCTAAATTTGGAGAGCGGGAGGCTGTGGAGCAAAACCTGGACGGCGACCTGCTGGCCGGCCTTCCGAAAGATCTCTGGAGGCGCGTTGAGACGCGTCCAAAACGCCCCAGTGGCTGTTAGCCAATCGAGTGGATCTGACCTTTAGTTTCTTTTCCCATTTTGTTGTTTCCCATGGGTTCCGAGTTTTGCATTTTATTTTTCGAGTTTCCCGGTTTTTCTTCTTCTTCTTTTTTGCATTGTTTCCCATTTGGGAGACTGCCAACGGCGTTCCGGCTTGCATTGTTGTGAGATTGCCGCCAAAGTATTTGGAGGGATTCAACCAGCTCTAACATGTTTTGTTTTTTATCCAATGGCCACCCCTGCTAGGTCCCCCAGCAGTGCCCTTTTACCCTTTTGTGGGGGAGGGTTCCCCTACTAAAATTGACTACACAGAAAAAAGGGTGCCCTGAAGGACCTAGCCTGTGAAACATGTATTTTTGGAGAAACGTTTCAACTTGCCACCTCTTCCAGGGGATTTCTCTGGTTCATTTGGAGATCTCCCCCATGCCGTTTGCCCTTCTCAGTTGCCCAAAGCGAATCGACTTTTTAACCTTTCGGTTTTCCTTTTTTGGTCCATATTTAGCCATGGCCCCAAAAGGTCAACCTTTGAGTCCCAGGTCCTTTGGGCAACTGAGCCTTGATAGCTTTCCGTGGTCCACAAAGGCAGCCGTCCCGCTGCGAATCGAGTGCGTTCTTCGGGTTCACATCCTCACAAGGTAGGAGACCCTCTGGGCAAGGTGGGCTGAGGAATTCGAAGAGGTCCAAGTTCCTTAGGTTTTTTGTTTAATTTATTATTTTAAAGAAGCTGGGTGTTGAAGGGGGTCAGTCTGTGAATTCAAGCTTACAGTATCTAAGATGACTCACTGTCCTTCACTCGTTCTCTAGTCCTTGGTTAGTTAGCCCAAGTGGTCTACGCATAGGTTTCCCAAAGGTCACGCAAGCTCGAAGCCCTACTTCAAATGCGTGTTGTTCAAGGTATGGTAGGGTATGGTAGGGTCCGGTATGATGTTATTCCTTGACGAAAGGAGGTATTTTCCATGGAAAGCAATGTTTTCAAAAAATACTCAAAAAACGAGTATCTGGAGTCGGCGGGTATTCTTGGTATGGTCGACAATTCTAGCAGCTTGTAACATGGAGATCCGCAAAATGGATCACACAACTGGACATGGATCGTCAATGCATCCTCACAAGGTACTTGGATGGACCCTGTTTGCAGGGGCGATCGGGTACTTAGTCAGTGGGTAGCATCCAATAACACTGGTTGTGACCAAAGCCATGGTTATGCGTCTCCGTTCAGTGGGTGATCTCACCAGCCTTAATCACTTACCTGACGTACCCTGCCCCTTTAAGTACGTTCTCAAAATAGGATTTCCTATAGGGCCCTAAGTGCTGCTGTTCTCATATTTTCGGAAAAGTGCCTTCAACATGTCAGCACTTTTCTCAAAACTCGAGAACAACGGTTGTCGGACAACCCTGGTGTAATTAAACAGTTGTTTCATGTAATGCTTCGGATGTTTTGCGGTCATTTCCCCATTTATCCCTGGTATAATTCTAGTTGTTTTGTAAATGCTTCGTTTTTTTTTGAAATCTCCCCATTTTAAAACCTTCCCTGGCGTTTTTCTTCGCCCCTTCGCCCGACCCGCGTGGAGCTCCCATTCCCGCGGGTGCCTCGCCTCGCTAGGCGCTTCGCGCGGCTGCGGGAGGCGCTGGTCACGGCCACGAAGGAGGCGGACTCCTTCGTGGCAACTCGGCACTCGGAACTCCGCGGCCGCTGCTTAGCCACTTTTAGTGGTTTAATGGTTGGTTGCTTTGTTGCATTTAACCCAGTTAATCAACCCATTTGCTGAAATGAGTTTTTGTTATATATATATATATATGCTTTTTCCCCTTGTTGGGGTTTAAAAGGAATTTCTCACTACTGGAAGTGTTTCGACTGTTTCTCCAGGAATCTCAACCAAATGGAAGTTAAGGGTCGCGGCTAAGGAGAGTCCTAGAAGACACACCCTCCCCCAGGCGATTCCATGGAAGCTTTGAGGACGTTTTTGAAAGACTTGGTTCCATGCACAGAAGCCTTCTCGGAGCTTCCATGTTAGGCTGAGGGAGTGTACGGTGGATGGTTCCGAGACCCAAAAATCGCACCACGAAATGAAGCCATGGTTGAAACCATCATGCTGGCTGGTATTTGCAGGGGAATCATCATTACATGGTTTCTTAGGTGCGTACTGGTTTTCGTCCATCCACAGTAGGAACGCTGTCTTTGGAGGAATGGAGAATGGGGAGATGCCACCGGTTTTGGCTTGGTTCTAATCATTTACTCTCCTGAAGATGATGGCACCCAACAAACCATCCAATGCATAGAGGAATCTCCTTTGAAGTGCTTTTATTGGTTCAATGTTACTTTCTAGGGGAGTAATTGAATGTTCGTTGCCAGCCAAATTGGCAAGTGGAAAAGGCCCCCTCGGGTCTAACCTACTAATAGCAAGGTTAACTCTTAGAAACCTCATACCCGTTTTATAACTTAGGCAGCCACTTACTAGCTTGGCAGCGGACAGAAAATTTGGCAACCAGGAACATGGTTTTACTTATGTCACTGGCCACACTTACTGACTTGGCAGCGGACACCCAGGTAGGCAACCAGTCACTTAGAAGCCCTATAACCGGGTTGTAACTTAGGCTACTGGCCACACTTACTGACTTGGCAACGAACACCCAAGTAGGCAACCAGTCACTTAGAAGCCCTATAACCGGGTTGTAACTTAGGTTACTGGCCACACTTACTGACTTGGCAACGAACACCCTTACTGACTTGGCAACGAACACCCAAGTAGGGAACCCCAAAAATGCATTTCGTGGTGCGATGTTTGGACCACCCCTGGTACGATGTTTGGACCACCCCTGGTATCTTGCACCGAGGTGTGCCCGCAGAACGCCGGACGGGAGGAGATGACGGGCCCCATGCCTACTGCTGAGCCAGCCCCGGGCTGAGTCCTTTTTGCTTCCCCAGAATAAGCTCCCCTTTTTGTTTTTTTGCCTATTTTGCTGGGGTCCTAATTCCAGCCTAGCTCGTATCCCGGGTGAGGGGCGTTCCTGAGATCCTAGTGCTGGGTTTTAGCCAACCGCATTGAACTTGGTGGCTCCCAGAAAATCCGGTTCCTTAGCTTTTAGCCTTTTAGTGTTTAGTGGTAGTTTCCGTTTCACCCGCTAAAAGTTAAGCTGTTGGCGGGGGATCTGAGGACAGCTCAGTGAACAATGTATTGGTCTATTTGTCTTTGTTCTTTCCTCTTTTTTTCCCCCGGGGGGGGGGGGGGGGGGGGGGGGGGGGGGGGGGGGGGGTACCCTTTTCAGCTTGGTTGCAAGGGAAGCCGAATTTCCAAGCATTGGGACATGGGAAGAAATACTTGTCGGGGGGGTGCTGGAAGATGAGCCTAGCGGGTCCGCTCTTGTAGGACACACCCTCACATGAGTCATAGTCAAAACCCGGTAGTAAACTGGCCGTAATCCCAGAACCATGTAGGCGGATATCCGCAGCCATTTATGGTTGGGATTGTCCCTTACTAACCTTCATCTACCCGGGTTTTGATCGTGGCTCACATTCGAATGAGATTCAATGTTTCACTTGGGTTCCTTGCCAAGTTAGCAAGTTGCTAGCAACCGTAAGCCGTAACGTATACGCGGTCATAAGCCCCCAAAGTGGAGTTAAGACCTTGTTATTTCTGGGTTAGAGCCCAGGTGGCTAACCACTTGTGAAGTTGGCGAATCGACCATCCAAGTAACACGCCCAAGGCAAAGCGGCATTTTGAGCGTGTTAAACCCAACCGTGCGTGAAGATCCCTGCCGGATTTCAACGAGTGATTCCAGCTTTGAAGTCAACCCCGCCCCAAAAACAAAACGGCTTTGTTAGCAAACTACAAACAAGCCTCAAACGCGCCCAAGACAGAAGTGGTGGTTTTGAAGATTCCTCCCATGCCCACTAGGCAAGCAGGAGTTTGCCATCCCCGCGGCGAACAGCAGCACATTTGGCATCATGTGTGATGTCGTCATACAGCGACTCAATCACTGTATGCACATATATAGGTGAATAGACTTATTTATCACGAGCCAGAAGTTTCAAGGTTCCTTTAAAATTGACTAATGCTGACCCCGGGAACAATCCTGTCCCATTGGTGCGGGGGGTGTTCCCTCCAAAAGTGGCCCATTGCCCAACACGAAGAACGGTCGTTTTTTTCCAATGGGCACTGCAAAAAGGGGCTAGGAAGTGGATAGAGGCCCGTGGGTTACAATGGTTATTATCCATTTACAAAGTACGCCAGGCACTTTTAACCACAGCTCTTGCCGGCTATCCATGGTTGTTGTCGGGAAGCATTTTACATTGTTGCTTGTTGTGGTTTAGTGGTTGAAATCCAACCACTGAACTGCCAAAATTTAATTGCTGTGCTCCCCTCCCAACGTCAACTTTTACCAGGACCCCCAAAGGACCGATTCCTTTTTCTGCCGAAATGACCCATAAGAAAGGGGTACAGTACGGCAGAACTCAGGAATCGGTCCTTTGGGGATCCAGGTACCGGACGCCGATCGCCTCGATGATTTTAGGTGGACGGCAGCGTCAAGGAGCTGTCGGACTTCGTAGCGCTCTGCGAGCGCCTGGAGCGCCGGGGAGCTCGCGAGGGACGTGGCTCGCGCGCGAGGGACGTGGCGAGTTGGATGGCGAGTTGGATGGGGGAAAGCACACCGGGAAGCGACGCTAACTTTGGGGACTGTTTGAGTCAGGTTTTGGAATTTATTGTTCCTGAGTAGCTTTGCTTCTGGTTCAATAATTTTGTCGTTTTCCCCATGTTGGTGTGGGGAAAACTGGGGGGAGGTCTGGAGTCTTCATGACCCTCAAAAAATGAGCCGGCCACGAAGCCCGCGGCATAGAACACGCGGTGATTCTGAGCAAGAAGAGAGGGTGTACCTTTGCTTGGATTTGTTTAATAATAGGTTTTTTCATTTCCCCATGTTGGTGTTAAAAGGAATCGATCACCAGGGAAAATAGCTTCTGTTTTTTCCCAGGGGCCTTACGCAAATTGAAGTTTGCTTGGGCATTTGTTGTTTCTGGTTTTGGAATTCACGATGGTTCCTGTTCGTTGGTTGGAAGTCATGGCCCACAGTTTTTCGATTGGGCTGACATTATGGAGTTTGCAGATACTTGGTTTTTGTTGGTCGGCTTTTTTTGAGGGCACCCTTTTTGGAGTGGTTATGGAATGTCCGTTTCCTGGCGGATTCCTTATGTCCCGTTATGAATGACAGCTGCGGCATTTGGGGGGGGAGAAAGGGAAGCTCAACGAACCCAAGTGTCAGAAATTGTTACAACTTCCATTTGCCAGCCGCCGGGGGTGCCGCAAATAGGTTTCTGTATTTTGGAGGCTACCTTCCATTTGTGTTTCGGAATCTGTATTTTGTTTACAGAGTTGGTTTTCCAGAAAAACCTAGCACTGGAAATATGCGAATGAGCTTTGCACTGATGTTTGGACTCGAGTCTGAAAATGTCCTGGCCTGGACCAAGTTCGCATCGCGAATGCCGGTGGGCCAAAGGGGAAAATAGATTGTGCCTATGGAGACTCTTTGGTGGGTTCTGATAGCTTTTGGACGCTTGCAGAACGCCTTTTGAACCCGGTGGCAGTGGCTGAACGTAGCTTTGTGTGAGTTTTTTATTTTTATGGTTTTTTTTTTTTTTTTTTTTCCGGGGAGCCAACCATTTTGGGACTCCAGTTTGAGATACATCCATATCAGCCCAGCAGGTCGTATGCCAGTGGTTTTCACACAGTCGATGTGCTGGTTTTCCCCCGGCATTTGGCTGCAAATCAGAATCAATGGTACCATTTTGGGGTAGGTGCACCACCCATTTTAGTCTATTTTTGTTAGTTGTGATTGGGATGATGTTCACTGGGTGTACGAGATTTTGAATTTTGCGGGAGATATGGCACGTACTTAGCCTGGCTTACTTTTTGACAGCCTCTATGCAGGAAATTTCTTGCAGGAGGCCCATGCTCAAGAATATGGTTGATTTACCCTGGTTGGTTTTAAACAGGTAAACCTCGGGCTTACTCCATTTGGGTCCAACCGGTTCCGGCCCGGGCTCCCGATATTTCACCTTGCCAAGCGTCACCTTTCGGGCCACTGCTTTTGTTGAATCTCCTTTGGCTGGGCTTTTGAACAGAAATACTTAGGTGTGTGTGTGTGTGTTTATTCGAGGGTACCCTCTTTTGGTCGAAAAGGGAGACCCGAAGGACACCAGCTCTTTGGGGTGCCCTGAGAATGGACTAGGGGACCAGTGCCCTGAGAATGGACTAGGGGTACCCCCCCCCACAAAAATGGGTCCAATTGGTGTAAAGGCCATGGTAGCGAGCCTCAAACACAACCCGCGCCTACAAGTACCCAAATTGTTAGTTGCCGTTGTAACAAAGCACACGAGACGTTTCAACATCGCGCCTTTTGCATGGACGCAGTACATACAAAAAGTACCACTATGTACGGTTTTGGGTTTAAGGCTCTTTTGGGAATTCGTCCAATCCGCAAAGTATCTTGCTGGTGCTCAGCCATCCCTTGTGGTTTCCTGGTTTTTTAGGGACCCCCAGGTTCAATCCCTCATTCCCCATCGCACCAGCAAGTTATTTGGGTAAGGAACCCTGCGCACGTGCACCCGAACCCTCGAGGTTTCGGTGGCTGGACCTGCCTCGATTCACATCTGCGACAGGAGGCTGGGCCTTCTTTTTGGGTTCGGGTTGGAGCTTTCACCTTGACCGAGGCATCCATCCTGATGAAAGACTCCTTCCAAGGAACCATTCTCAGGTTCCATGTCGTGGGAGAGTACCATGAGTATTTGATTGCTCCTTGTACCGACAGCACCCGCCAAACCACTTCTGAATTACCCTGCCCCTGTCAAGAGGTTTCTCTGTACTGGCTGGTCTTGATCAGCTCCGCCGCTGTCCAAATCTGGCGGCCTTCGATTGTGCACTTTCACAGACCGACATGCTTCCGAATTATGCCACGTCCTTCACGCGGATGGGATTTCCCATAAGGCTGTGGGTCAAAACCAATGCTACCATTTTGGGGTAGGTGCAACACCCATTTTAGGTTTTTTTTTTTAGTGGGGATTGGGATGTTCACTGGGGGTACGGAATTTGGACCCATGGCCTTAAGAAGCTGGCTTGCAGAACTGATGAGGAAAGGCCAAGGGTAGTTGTTGGTGGGGAAGCCACCAGGCGACTTAGAGGTCGGCACTGAACAACTGGGGGTAATGCGGGTGTGTCTTGTACTCTTTCAGCTTCGGGGTCGACGGGCCTAAATAAGCTCCGGGGCGGTTGGGGGTTTCGTGGTTGTTGGAGATGCCACCATGGGCTTATTGTGCGAGCGGGAACCAAAAGCGGCCACTTTTTGTTCAGGTTAGCCTCAATTGGTGCTTTGGGTCGGTGTTTTGGTGGCTTGAGTTTCCCATTTGCTTTCTGAATAAGGGTCATTGGCTGAGCAGGTCATTGCCTTCAGCAATCACGCGGGGGACATCCAGAAGTACGTGCGCCGGCGCTGCAAGGATCCGGCGTTGCCCGGTCGTTTTCGGGGATGCGCAGAGATGCCTCGATCTTTTTCAGGCCTCCAAGGCCAAACCAAGATGTGAGGTTTTGTGTGTGTGTGTGTGTGTGTGTGTGCGTGTGTGTGTGTGTGTGTGTGTGTGTGTGTGTGTGTGTGTGTGTGTGTGTGTGTGTGTGTGTGTGTGTGTGTTCGTGTGTGTTTGCATGTGTCAGGATCCCCAACGGCTTTGAAACGGTTTGTTAAGTGACCGTTGCTTGCATCTTTTTTCATGGCCATTGGACACAATCCACTTCTTCTTGGTGACCCTTCATCACACAGCGCACAGGCCCAGTTTTAAGGGTGGGGTAGGGGGTGCAAGGGACGGCCAATTTGGGGGTAGGGGTCACTTAAGAAACAATTGGAGGGGCTTCCCTTTCCAATGAGCTGCGCAGGAGCTGAAGGAAGGTGTCAAGTCGCCATCGAGCCAAGGCGTGTCTGGCCGGCGCCCCGAGACTTTCCGTTTCGAGGCACCGTTTGGGATTTTGGTTGTGGTTGTTGTTCGTTTACCGAAATCCACCGTTTTGCTGTTTCAAGTTGTTTGGTTTGGTTTTGCAGTTAAGTGTTGGTCGAAATCCTTTTGATTAGCCAAAGGGAAACAATCAAAGACTCAGTTCCTGAGTTCCTGGACTTGAGTTACTTTTCGGATCTCGATCAGTTTAGTGGCAAATACAAAGTGTAGCTTCTTTTTTTGGGGTTCCAATCCACTCGATCGGAAGTGGGTCAAACTCAACTTGCCATCCCACCCCCCAGCCCCCACCACTCCCCCCCGCCCCTCCCCCCCCCAACCCACCCCTCCCCACCTCCCCCCCCCAACCCTAGCTTAGCACGCCAGCCTTCGCTTCGCACCGCGCCGCGTCGATCGAGGCCTGGAGGACTTGCTCGACACCTCAAAGCCGCCCAGCCGAGGCGACGTCGGCGCGTTCTTCGCATTCGCGGGCGGGCGTGTCTTCGCGACAATAGGGATTACATCCCGGGATTATTTGTTTATCTATATATATATATACATAGATGTATATACTCACACATATGATATATATATATATATATATGTATTATATTATAAAAAAAAAATATATATTAAATATATGGCATATATTTAGACACATACAAACATATGTCCAGGTCCGCGGGCCGCAAGCCCTCCCACAGGCTATTTGCCACCCCTCCTCCCCTCCAACCTTTCGCACGGGCCTGCCCTGTGCTGCTTCAATGGCATTCCAAGACACCCCCAGCCCCCAGATCGCTATGGTTCTCAACCCCCCCAACCCTAATCCTAAGCCCCTTCACCCGCACACCAGCACCCCAACGACGAACCTTACACCCTCTAAACCCTAAACAACCCCCCAAATCACCGAAGCAACCGCCTGAACCCAAGCTTGTTAACCCACCGAAACCAATCCTAAAGCAGAACCCAAAGAAACAAAGCCCACACTAAACTAACCCTCGACCCACCTCGACCTCAAACAACCCCCAAACCCACCCCCACTACACCACACATGAAATTTAGAAACCCATCTAAACCACCTCCTAAACACCCCGAAGCCAGCCCTAAACCAACCCTAACCGCCTCAACCCGCCACGAACCAACCCCTAAACCAGCCCTAAGCCAACCCGAACCCTAAACCAACCAATCCCAAGCCAAGCCTGGCCCAACTCAAAACCAGCCAATGTTAACATATTGTTCAATAAACTTAAAAGCTAAATCAAACAACACGAAACCAATACTACGAACCAGTAGTACCAGCCCCCCCCCCACCACACCCAACCACAGATTAAATTACGGGTTTGCACGGCCTAGCCTTTCGCATCCCCGTAGATGAACCAATTCTCCAAAAGCTCTTTTTCTGAACCCGTCAGGCCGAACCAGGTTGAATTGCCCATGGGTGCTTCAAATTTCACCTTATTTGAGTGGCAAACACAAAGATTGATTTTCTTTACTTTATCAACCCACTCACGAAATAAATCACAAACCTCTACAAACTAAACGGAGCATAACTAATGACCTACACGGTCTGGAATCCACCGGCTTAGATTATAGTTGCAGCCAACGGCATACCACACATCCCCGAGGTGTGCTTCAGGCCAAGAAATGTGTATCTGGGGATCCACTTTAACACCATCCCAAAAAGTGTCGGTGATGCCAGGGAAACTGCTTTCAAACGATACACCGCCGAATGGTTTTGCATTTCCACCATATAGGTATGAACATTTTCATGGTAGACATTGGGGTTTCATGTCCACCAGCCTTTGGCACTTTGAACTGAAATCCATGGCCAAGGGAGGGAACAAAGGGACCCTGTGCTGTATCACTTGAAAGCAGGTTGTTTCTGGCATCACCTCACTCCCTCAGTTCCTGGACTTGGGGAAGACCATTTTAGTGGTAAACAAACAGTTTGATTTCCGTTTTTGCCAAGCCACTCGCGAAGTGAGTCACAGAACATGGCCCCAACACCCATGTGTGTGTGTGTGGTTTTTGAGCGTGTCCCTCAGGTTGCCACCGGGCAATGGGGTATTGGTTACACCCCTGGGGCCAGGCACGAAGCCGGAATATGGGGCCAAAACAACCAAACCCCAGCCCCTTTTTGCCCCTGCCGTTTTCTGGCAAACAAACGCTTCATATTGGTTAACCCAGTTGCCAGCACCTTTTTTCCTTTGTTTTTAAAGCCCTTTGTTTGGAAATCTCCGCCACCCCCAGCATTTGCCCGCAGTTTTCTGTACCAAGCTTTGTTTGGGAAATCTCCGACAACCCCCCAGCGCTTCCCCGCAGTGTTCTCTTGGTGGCTCCCGGCCATCCGGTTCCTTAGCTTTTTAGCCTGGTGTTTAGTGGTAGCTTCTAAATTAACCCAGTAAAAGTTCGTCACTCTTAGCAGGGGATCTGAAAAGCGGACAGCCCAGTTACCTGGGCAAGCCATTCTGGGATTTCTTTTTTCTTTTACCCACAGCCAAATTTTGCATTTTTTTGTTTTCTCCCAGCCCGGTCGCTTTTTCCAGTTTTCCGGTAGAAACCGCAGAAGCCCCAGGCAGCGCCCCGATGGCGGTGCCGCCTTTGCTGAAACCTCCGCCGGTGTCCTCCTGCAGCGCCCGTGGCCCCGGGCGAATTTTCAAGGGATGAGCGCCGGAGACTTGGGGTTTTGATACACCTTTCATGAACCATCCTTGAAGTTGAACCATGGTTTACCTGGACCCCCAAAGGACCGATTCCTTTTTTCTGCCGAAATGACCCCCAAAAAAGGGGTACAAAGGCAGAAATAAGGGGTCCTTTAAGTTTCCATGGTTACGATGAATTGCTGTCCCCTTCTCGGAAAAGAACATCAACCCGGGTACGTTCGTGCGGTCCGACTGTTAGAGTTGAGCAGAGTTTGTGGCATATCCCCCGCAAAAATATCACTTTTGCTTCCATGTGCTTAAGACCAATTGTTTATGTTCTCCAGTTAGTTTCAAAGAGAATCTATCTCTACCGCGAAACATGGTGTTTGGTGTTTGTTTTTCCCTGGCGGCTCAACCGAATGGCGGTTCGTATCGCCCTTTAGGATTCCTCGGTGCCAACTCACCTCCAATTCGCTCAGGTGCGCACGAGCCAGTGAGATGGCGAAATCGTCCGAGAAGTCGGCGGTCCAAAAGCTCTGGGCAGTCGGGTGGAGTTTCCTACTTATGGTACATTATGTATATTTATTTCCTACTTATGGTACATATATACATATATATATATATAATATGTATATATATATATATACATATATATATATAGTGAAAGAATAGTTCAAGAGTGCTCGGAACCGTTCGAGATCGACCCAGTGTGTAACGTCCGTGCTGGAGCGTAAATAAACCGACCAAGGGCCAAAAAATCATGTTTTTTTGGGGAGCTACCAGGTACTCTAGGTCCTTTCTGACCCCTTTTTTGGGGGAGGGTTCCCCTGCTAAAATAGACTACAGAGAAAAATGTACCCTTGTTCTAACCTCCCTACTGGAGGAGCTAGTAGTACGTGGGTAAGAACCATGGTTATAAAGCACTCGACGTACCCGATCGCCCCTTTAAGTAGGACACAACGGCTGAGTCGACCTTTTGACCTTTGAGTTTTTCTGGCAACCATTGTCAGTCATGGCCCCAAAAGGTGATCACCTTTTTTTCTGGGTCCCCAAGGAGCAATTGAACCAAACATGCAGGAAACACGGGAAACCATCGAGATCCACGTGTTTTGTGGTCGGTTCACTATCACGGCTTACGAAAGTCTATCGCAAGTGAGCCGATGGAGGGTTCCTTTGTTCCCTACTTACAATATTGGGGGGCGGGGGGGGGGGCATCCATCATATGTCCTCCTACTACTTGGGTCTTCGGCCAAGTCAGTCAGTTGTTGGTAACGGCAATCTCCCAGCGGAGTTGACCTTGTTCTTTTTGGGTTAACCCGGGGCGGCCTTAGCCGAACATCCAAGTAGAGATTGGTGGAAGAGAAGCATGCACTTGTCAAGGGATCCCCCCAGTTTCATAGAAACAAGCTGCAGAAATACTGGTAATTCATTAGCCCTCCTTGATTTGTGCAAATATTCGGCAGGGTATTCTTGACAATGTGTCTTCTTGACAATTTGTCGACCCTCCCGCTGGAACCTGCCTTAAGTCTTACCACTTCTTATGCCCCGGCTTGTCGCTCTTGCATCATTTGGCTATGAATTTGAGAAAAGAACCACCACAATCCCCAGATGTTGATGTCCACCACATAAATCCTCTGTCCAAAGAGTTGCAAAGTGGAAGTTTGGAGCCATTCAGAGCCCTCCCCCGCTCGCCACTTCGATTGCATGGCACACGGATTTTCTGTTGCGTTTTGTGTTTTTTTCTTTGGGTGCCGAATCGAATCGGGCCTGGGACCTGTTGGGTTGACTTTTTGCAGCACAGCTACGCAAGGCCACGTAAAGGGGCAGGGTGCTCAGTAGTTTGGTTTTATCCCACTCATGAGGCTTATAACGTTTAACCATGGTAAATGGGTTGTAACCAGGCTATCACCAGAATTACCAGCCACCTGACGTGCCAGCCCAATGGATCCAAGGCAAGCCACTGTAGGTAACCAGACATCTTTCAACTCTTGGATCTTATGTTGGGCAAGCCAACTTGGTTACCTGCCCAGGAAAATGGAATCACTGGGAAGGTGGTTCACAACCTTTGCTCGTCGGAGGCAACCCAAATTATCCGCTGGAAGAGAACGTTGACCGACACTCTGGAGGGCGCCCAAGATTCTGAGACCTCACTCCCCGAGTTCCGGAACTCAGACTTTCACTTTTGGTTCTGGTTGCCATTTGGCTGTGGCTCAAAAAACCGGTGCACAAAATGGCCCCTGGTAAAGACCAAAACCTGCGTAACCCTAGCTCTTAATTTTTGAGCCACACCCATTGTGGTGCTAAACAAAACGTTTTGACTTTTCTTGGCCCGTCAACTCAGGAAGTGGGAGACTCGGGAAAATAGCCGACACGGCTTCGCCAAGCGACGCCTAAACCGAACCAAGCTAAAAGGTTAGGCCGAATGAAAGTGTTTGAAAGGGATCTCCGACTTCTTTACACCATCTGCCCAACTTATAGCCAGCTGACTTGGTTGTGGCTCCCCACGATGGTCCATTTCTTCGTTGTTTGTCTGCCTGCCTGCCGATCAATCCGTTTGTTTGTCTGTTTTGGTGTTTCTTCTTGCTTTTATGTTATTTTGCTTGCGTGTGTATTTGTTTATTTGTTTCTTTGTTTGTTTGTTTGTCTGGTTGTCTCGTTGTTTGCTTGTCTGTTTGTCTGTTTGTGTGTGTGTGTGTTTGTCTGTTTGCGTGAGTTTGTGTGTTTGTATGGTTTTGATTTGTTTTGTTTCGTTGTTGGGTTTTTGTTTGCTGGCTCGGTGGTTTTGTATCGTGGGTGTCCTTCTTGTGTGCGTCTTTGACTTGTTTTGGTTTGTTTTGTCGTTCTTGTTTGTTTGCTTGCTTGTTTGCTTGCTTGTTTGCTTGTGTCTATCTTTGCCGCGGTTCATTGTGTTTGCATGCTTGTGTTTGTGTGTTTTGTATTCGGCGGCTTAGCTTCATTGGTCGGCCTTTCTTTTGCGCGAACGCGGGCATTTAGGCCTTGGGAGAAACCAGAGCCAGGGAAGTACGGAATAAATTCAGTTCAATGTCGTCGCTGGCAAAGCACGAAGAGGTCAAAGGGACCAACCAGGGGGCGTTTTAGATCTTAGAGCGCAGAGTCAATATGCCAGTCCTCTTGTTATTTTCTTACCATCCACGGCCTCTTCTGAGTTGATGCTGCAAATCTGTTTTAAGGCTGTTTTCCATATCTTGTTGTGCGGAGTTGCCGGATGGGTCTGTTGCATCAGGATGGGTTGCCTGGGATCACATCACATCACCGCTGAGTTTGGCAAAAGCTAATTGTCATGTCTAGAGTCAAACGCATGTGACCTTTGTTTTAAGTCTTCTGGCAGTCCAGAAGACTGTCGATGGCCGCAAATCGGCCGGTTGACATTGACGATGCCGCTGCAAACAACGCCCCTGAGGTGCGCGGCCGATGGAAAATGGGATATGAGCTTCGATCAAAAGATAGTCTATGGTCCATTTGGGAGCCTCTATAAGTTTTCCAACACCCAGTTGCCCTGGCGGTGTTTTTCGCTTTGGTCCCCCTTTTAAGCCAACCCACAAAGGGTGCCCTAAAAGAAACTCACACACACACACACACACATCCATACAAAGGCAACCATTGGTTTAGCTTCAATGTTGGCAATTGAATCCCGGGACACAGTTAGTGGGTGGTTGACATGGGTTACATGTGTTTTAAATGCAGGGTATGACTTTGGTTCACGTCTTACTTGGCCGAACACTGGCTACCCGTTAGTTTCAAGGCAACATCCAGGTAATTGCCAAAAGGGGCACCCTCCAAAAAAGAGACACCAGTTGGAAACTCCCTTGCACGATAACATGGAACCCGGAGGTTCCTCTACAAGTGGGGGCTGATTGGGTTCCATACCAATTTCTAGGGGAGTATGAGTCTATTAGGTCTTTTTGGGCCGGAATCAGTTGAACCCTCAGGTTACGCATTTAGGGCAATCTCCTGTGCATTTGCTTCAACAATCTTGTTGATTCCCAAAAGGGCAACCTCCTTGGGTCGTTTGTGACACCAAGACCACGTCCCATGGTCAGGGCCCCTCAAAAAAGGAACCCAAGAAACCCAACACGCGTTATTAGTCGCTATTGGCCCTTATTGGGCTGGGGGGGGAACTTTTTGTTGGTTTACAGTAACTACTCTAGTAGGTATTTGGGGGTAGTGGTTTGGGGGTAGTGGAAACCATCTTAGATCACCCCTTGTAGGTTTCAGGTGAAGCTGCTTGCAGGTGATTATTCTTGATGGTTCTCTGTAGGAATGGGGGAATGCATGAAGTCCCTTAAGGGGATCCATTGGCACATCTCAGGGATGAAATAATTGATCCCCCTATGGAACCAACAAGCAGTGGCTTGCCCTCTATGAATCCCATGCCAAGCACCCGGAATTGTGAGGCGTTCGATTCTCCTGGTTCTTCAAGGCAAGTTGGATTCTATCATTTTGGTGATGGCGGTAGTACCTGGAGTCTCCATGACCCTTCAAAAATGGGTCAATGACCCCTGACCCCATTTTTCCAGGGTCATGGAGACCAGGTATGCTCTACGTGGTCGGTCGTAAGCCGACGTACAAGCCAACGCTCAGACTTGGTGCCAGAAAGGCAGGTGCGGCACGTAAGTGTGCGTCAAGCAAACAAGCTTGTATCTCGCTTCAAGGTGGCTATTTTTTCGGCAACCCCTCAATAATGGTTGGTTCACGCAACTCCCCATGTAAATGAGAGATCTTTCCCACCATGGCATCACGCAGCTCAGCCAGGTCGAGACACCACGCGAGACGCCCCGAGCGGCCTCGCGGGTCATTTCTTTAGACGAGCGCGGTCCTCAGACCTTGCGAGTCGAGGGCAAAGAAGTTGAGGCTGGGAGTCTCCTTCTGAGTCAAACGAAATCCTGCACCCCCTACATGGTTGTTGTTAGCAATAATTTTACTTTTTTGCTTACTGTGGTTTAGTGGGAAATCCCCACTTCACTGCGATTTTTTTTGTTGCTCCCCCTTCCAACGTCAACAAAGCCTAAGAAACCCTGAAATGATGATTCCTCTTTAGATACCAACCAACCAATGGTTTATAGGGCTCGGGAAAACTCAAAAGAACAAATGGTCATCCCATGTTTAAGAGTCTGAAAAAAACTTCAACCTGTTCTTGTGTTTGTGTGGTACCCTTCTCAGGGAACCCATGCCTAGGTCCGAGGGGCAAGTCCAGCCGGACTTGGACGTGGCCCCGGACAACTTGCCGCCGGAGCGCTGCGGGTGATTTGTTTGTGTGGCAACATGGGTTGCTCGGTGCCCTTCTTTGGGTGGGTTCAAAAGGAAAACCAAAACTTCAGTTTGCTGTGGAGGAACTACCAAGCAAAAGTAATACTAGGAGAACACCGAGGGGATAGCAAGGGAATAATAATCAGCGTGAGCACTAGAAGAATACTCGGGAATTGCCATGGAAAAGCTGGGGGAATACCGTGGGAAATTTAGAGAAACACATCGAGAAATCGAATATTCAGACTCAAAGTCAACACAAACCAGTTCGGACTCAACACCAA